GAGAATGCGGTTCTTATCGACTTACACATCCACAAGGAGTCAGTAGAAACCACATTTGTTTAAGGAAGTCAGCCATATCAGCTATGGTTTTTAAAAAGGCAGTAAATGAGGCTGAATGAACTGTTTCGCTGCCAGACAAGGCTCCGCTGATAGCCAGGTGTAGCGGTGGTAAGGATTCACTCTATGGTGCTGAAAGGAAAGCTCTGCTGTTGGGACAGCTTTATGTAGGCCCTAACCGCTTGTGGGCACCGTTTGTCACCATTTTAGTGCAATTAATGTACTGTTTAGTGTTGTGTTGGGTTGTGTAGTGGCTTTGCTGGCATGCATCTAATATATTTTTTGAGTTTGCCCCACCAAGATTTACATGCTAAAATCGGCACTGTATGTTTGTCTACCGTGAAGAAAATTTGCTGCGGCACGCTGAATGCACTCATGACTCTGTTTTTATGTGCACTAAAATTATGATCTGTTTCCCTGAATTGCATTGTGAAAGCCTAACACTGTAATATCGTATTTTATAACTTCGCAAGTCATGTTGGCAATATAACAACCAAATGATGCCCACCTTGCGATTTATAATGGACACAACAACAGTAATTGTGTGATGGCAGGGATGCAATGTTGTGTTCCAAACTAAACAATTAGAAGTGTGCTTGCTCTAATTCCTCAACCGCACAGCTAGAAGAGTTTAAAAAAATAGAATCTTATAGTTGAAGACTCTTCTTTCAGTCATAAAAGTGCATTGAAATTATTTAGGAAATGTGCACACTTTAGAGAGGTGTGTGTGGATACACTAGTTAGTCTTCTCACTCAAACCCTTGTCATTTATTTGTCTTATGTTGCACCTACAACATATCTTCCAGGAAGATTCTTATCATGATACTGACTGTATCCAGAGTATTTTCAGATTTCTTTAACAAATGCTGCGAAAAGTACAGTAAATGTAAAATGCACATACAATCAATAGGGTAATGTTTGCATTCAATCTTCTTTTCCTCACCTTTGGTCTATTAATTTCCCCATAATCTACACTATTCCCTTTCAATTGCTACCATGGTTATGCATTTCATATTTTTTCTGTAAGAAAAGTAAAACCAACTTTGCCACGGTCGCACACCAGCCGGTTGACGCTAATTGACGAAATCATTTGGCTAACTCTTCCTACCTGCGAACACACGAGACACCCACATCAATCAAAGCACACCCTGAAACTCCCGTTTGATTTCAGTCATGGCCGCTAGCATTTCTTAAAGGGAACTTCACCACTTTTCAACCTCATTTTTATTATGTCCAGCACAATACCAGTGTCAACATGTGAAAACGGTGCATTTCAAAGTTTGAGGAAAAAAAAAATATATATAAAGAGCAGATGCTCTTATCCAGAGTGACTTACATTTTCATACTGGCCCCCCGTGGGAAACGAACCCAACTGAGCTACAGGGGACTACTGAGGTTGAAAAGTGGCAGCATTGCCCTTTTAATGAACCAAATCTAAAACCTTGCCAAATCAGGAAATGCAGTCGCCTTTTTAACCAGTCGCCCCTTACCGTGTAGCCTACCCATGTTTGTCCTCTGTTGCATGCCTTTCATTGTTTGCTGAAATCCATACTTTTTAATAAAATGTTAATCAAATACAACCACCGACTGTTTCCTCGTATCGACTGACAGCGACTCAATGTAGTCGGATGTACACTCAGCCCACTCTCCGCTCAACACTGTTGATGTCATGAAGAGTGATCAGATGAATTGCAAAGTCCCTCTTTGCCATGAAAATGAACTTAATCCCCAAAAAACATTTCCACTGCATTTCAGCCCTGCCACAAAAGGACCAACTGCCAGTGATTCTCTCGTTAACACAGGTGAGGGTGTTGACGAGGACAAGGCTGGAGATCACTCTGTCATGCTGATTGATAACAGACTGGAAGCTTTAAAAGGAGGGTGGTGCTTGAAATCATTGTTCTTCCTCTGTTAACCATGGTTACCTGCAAGGAAACACGTGCCGTCATCATGCTTTACACAAAAAAGGGCTTCACAGGCAATAATATTGCTGCTAATAAGATTGCACCTAAATCAACCATTTATCGGATCATCAAGAACTTCAAGGAGAGAGGTTCAATTGTTGTGAAGAAGGCGTCAGGGCGCCCAAGAAAGTCCAGCAAGCGCCAGGACCGTCTCCTAAAGTTGATTCAGCTGCGGGATCGGGGCACCACCAGTGCAGAGCTTGCTCAGAGTGCATCTGCACGCACAGTGAGGAGAAGACTTTTGGCGGATGGCCTGGTGTCAAGAAGGGCAGCAAAGAAGCCACTTCTCTCCAGGAAAAACATCAGGGACAGACTGATATTCTGCAAAAGGTACAGGGATTGGACTGCTTAGGACTGGGGTAAAGTCATTTTCTCTGATGAATCCCCTTTCTGATTGTTTGGGGCATCCGGAGAAGACAAGGTGAGCGCTACCATCAGTCCTGTGTCATGCCAACAGTAAAGCATCCTGAGACCATTCATGTGTGGGGGTGCTTCTCAGCCAAGGGAGTGGGCTCACTCACAATTTTGCCTAAGAACACAGCCATGAATAAAGAATGGTACCAACACATCCTCCGAGAGCAACTTCTCCCAACCATCCAAGAACAGTTTGGTGACGAGCAATGCCTTTTCCAGCATGATGGAGCACCTTGCCATAAGGCAAAAGTGATAACTAAGTGGCTCGGGGAACAAAACATCTACATTTTGGGTCCATGGCCAGGAAACTCCCCAGACCTTAATCCCATTGAGAACTTGTGGTCGATCCTCAAGAGGCGGGTGGACAAACAAAAACCCACAAATTCTGACAAACTCCAAGCATTGATTATGCAAGAATGGGCTGCCATCAGTCAGGATGTGGCCCAGAAGTTAATTGACAGCATGCCAGGGCGGATTGCAGAGGTCTTGAAAAAGAAGGGTCAACACTGCAAATATTGACTCTTTGCATAAACTTCATGTAATTGTCAATAAAAGCCGTTGACACTTATGGAATGCTTGTAATTATACTTCAGTATACCATAGTAACATCTGACAAAAATATCTCATAACACTGAAGCAGCGAACATTGTGAAGACCAATACTTGTGTCATTCTCAAAACTTTTGACCACGACTGTACATCGTGGAGTTGAGTTTTACTTGGCTAATTATCTGTCGAACTCAAACTGGTCTAAAGCGAACATTACATGCATAATGTAATGTAATTTTTGCTTTACATCTCTCTTGTCCTGGTCTTTTAATAAACATGATTGTATCTCTTCTAGGGAAGAAAACCAAGCGAAGAATCCACAGATGACTCTGAGGTAAACTATGTATATGGCCCTCTAATAAAAAGTGGAACATTTGATTAATTTAGGCTGAAGTTATTGTAGAAAATGTCTGCATTTATGCTCTTCCCACTTGTAAACAAACAACATTTTGTTTTACAGCAAAAACAAGGCAGATTTAGAGATGTTCTTATGCAATTTTCTGGATGTTGTGAAAATAGTCTGGATTAACAGCAGAAGATAAAATGTCTGACCATGTCAGAGATGCATGCAGTTGTGAAGTACACTGTTGCACCACACATTTTGACTCTGCATAAATTTGTATCATCCAGCTCCTGTAATTGTGCATTTGTGAATCACTAAATATAATCTAGCATGTCCGACTGCTAGGGAGGGTGAGGAGCAGCCTGTCTTTAAATGATACAGAGAATGAAATGTCAGGAATAGCCAGTACATTGAACAATTCCACCCCCTACTCCCCAAAGAAAAAACATTCCTAATTGAGAAAAAAAAATCTTCACAAGTAAATGAAAAGTCTGCCTACCCCATATCACCAGTCCACAAACAGAATCCACTCTGAACACAAAACACTCACAGGTAAACAAGCACCTGGGACTGCATGATTGTATGTCCCCTCTGAATCGCTACAAACCCCTGCTTTATTTAGTTATTGTGGTGTAGCTTGCCCATTCGCTATGCAGCTGTCTCCGTGACTGGGTTGTCAGTAGACAGACTTGATGAATGAAGTGAGAGTGTAGCCTATGTGCTGAAGGCTTTGCCAGAATGGCTAGATGGGAACCAAATTACATGCTCCCTATTACCTTGGCTCAGGTAGACCGATTCACATTCACTTGATTGTGGCCCCCATGGGCTGTTGTAATATGACTTTCCCATCAGACCCTTGATTTAGCATGCCCTACTAAACATTTAGCCTATATTAATATATACATTAATTGAAATGTGATGTTGTTGTGGTAAAGTCTCATAAGCCTAACAAAACCAAAGGAAATGTACCACACTAACAAACGTCTGAGAAACTGTGCCTGTAGTCCCTCTATGGGGTGTACATTTGTTGTTCTGTATTATAGCTTTGTAATCTGTGACAAACGCCCATGCATTAGACATTTCAATAGGGAATAAACAGGAAATAGACATGGTGGTATAAAGTGGGAAAGGATGGTTCTTGTAAATGACATTCTTTCCACACACTGCCACCCCCCACCGTCTCCCATAGTGCTTATAATAGCAGTCTTTGTTTTGTGTTGATGCACCATATAGACGGCCACAGTCTATGCAGCATTGGTTATTAACTGGGTTATGGGGAATATTCAGGCTGTGACCGCAAATGTACACAGGAAAATATGGCAGCAGCGCATATGCTCGGGGTTCCTAGGAGGGTTGTAATCCATTTGTGTTCCTGGGACAGTGTGTGGCGCAGCCAGTAGAGAGGAAGGATGATGTGGTTACAGATGGAGAGTGGACTGGCCTTGGACATTTATTTGTGTATCTAGAAACATTTACCTTGCTAATAGTGAAAGGGAATTTTGTATGGAATTTTGTATTGAATTTCCTACCTTGCTGATAGGAAATGGGAATTCCATACCAAATTCAGATTCCCTATCAGCAAGGTAAATGCATGAATCTGTACCAGTGTAATGTTCTGTATATTATACATTAATTATGCTGGATTGTTTTAACTGAATCCCTCTTTTAAAATAGGAAGAGGACAGTGAGGAGGAGCCTAAGCTGAAGTATGAGCGACTGGCCAATGGCGTGACTGAGATTCTCCAAAAGGATGCTGCCAGCTGTATGACTGTCCATGATAAGGTACAGGTCCTAACCTACCACAGCTTTTCAGGCTAAACTACACTAGATTTAAAATGTAATTGTTTACGCACATGTTTGATATATTCAATGTCGGTTAGCATTCTCTCTGTACAATATGGAGAGGCTGGCCATTTCTTTCTCACCCTCCACTCATCCCTTTGGCTCAGGGAGACACATCAGCCGCCGCCAGTCATTGTCTTTTTCCCTTTCTTATTCAGTTTCTCCCAGCTTTTCACTCCCCTCTTCTCTTTTTGAACGTTTAGATTTTTCAGCGGGCCATCTCTGAGCTGGATGGCTAATCGTTATGGCACCGAGTGCACCCATGCACGCCTGAACAGAGGACGAGTCATACCTGGTTATGTCTGCTCACCTGATGTTTTATTAACCACTATTGATTTTCACTTACTCATTTTTTCTCCGTTTTTTCTCTCCTCTCTTTGATCCTATAAAAAAGCAAGCATGCCAGGGTGAGAGACATTGCTGTGTAGAAATTCCACATTTTACCTTTCCTTCTTGCCGGTGTTTTTGTGCTTGTGTACTGCCTGCCAGCTACAGTACCTGTACTGTGACACCGACCCCCGACCCCCGACCCAGCCAACCCCCAGCACCTTTAAAACCACCAACACTCCGCATTGCCTGATGTTGCCTCATATTTTCAGTGCCTGAATCGGAATTTAATATGAACAATTCCATTCTAATAAATCCTTTTTAAAAGTCGCTCCGCCTCGCAAGGTTGACCCCTTTTTATTTATTTATTTTTGGTTATTTTATTTGGGGAGATTGCAGGGGCTCTGTCTGACATGCTCAGCTGTGCCTGTAAATATAAGCATTTCATTATAGACTGCACTGAAGCATGGTGGGCTCACCGAACACACAGGCGAGGAAGGGGTGAGGGAGAGGGATTAGGGGGAGGGGCTCGAGCTGGGCCTGTGTGGAAGAACGTACCCTTAATCTAATGCCAAAAAGCCTCCTAGTTTTTACAATTTCTTGTCCCAGTGGACCTACACATACATACATACATACATACATACATACATACATACATACACTCTCACACACACACTTCAACACACTCACATACTGTACAGAAGCAGGAAACATCGGAAACCAGTTGCTGCTCTGTAGAAAATAATAGCTTTATGGTGGGCAGGAGAGGCGGTGGTTGGGTTGCTGGCGACGCCAGGAGAAGCCAGATGTACAGCGCATTTATTATGTTTAAGCATTGTAATTTGAGAGACAAAATACCATTTCACACTGTCTGCTTTAATAAATAGGGTTTTCACACCCTCTGTAATTTCATAGTTTTTGCCCCAGTGCCCACTGATTCCACCCCACTCTACTCGCCTCCCCCAGCTATGCTAGACAGAGTGCATTTTTAATCCTCTTGCCACAGCTTTCGTCAGTAGTACATATTTTTGCCAAAATCTTGAATTGTCTTAAAGATTAATCTCAGGTTCATTCCATTTCAGTTCCTTGCACTGGGCACTCACTTTGGGAAGGTTTTCCTTCTGGACATCCAAGGAAATGTGACTCAGAAGTTTGAAATTGTAAGTACAATCCCAAATAATCACTTGCTCTCAGAACGTTCCCAGTCATTCAGTGTAACTGTTGTGGTGGTGGTGGTCTCTCCTCAGAGTCCAGTGAAGATCAACCAGATCAGTCTGGATGAGAGTGGAGAGCATATGGGGATCTGCTCTGAGGACGGCAAGGTGAGCTCATCTCTCTGCTCAAAACTGGTGGCCATACAGAAGTAGTGACACTCCACTGGGCACAGATGTCAATTCAACGTCTATTCCGCGTTAGTTCAAAAAACGTGGAAACAACGTTGATTCAACCAGTGTGTGCCCAGTGGGACCCTATTCCCTATATACCAAGGCCTATGGGGCCCTATGTATGGAATAGGGTGCAATTTGGGATGCAGCCTAGATGTCTGCACCACCATTAAGTGGCAAGGTATTATGTGTAATACGTTGAATATCACTTTGAATTTACCATGGAATTATACAATGTTGAACTCAGATCATCAATGCCAAAAGCAAAGGATATTCTTATTCATATTTAGAATTTAATTGAACTGGTTGCCTGGAGAAAGGGGATTTAGAACTACAGTATGTGCCCCAGTTCTCATAGAAGATTTACAAACCAGAAGCTTTATCTTCCTCATACCTGTTTACTTTCATAAATCTACACATTTCTAGGGTTTTGAACAAGCACATGTTCATGTTCATGCTCATGTTGTAAGGGGAAAGAAGCTCGCATCCATCTGTCTGCCTGGCTGTCAGTCATCAGGTCTCTATGGATACCCTCTCAGTGCTCTCTACCTTGTTGTTATCGCTCCTCTCCTGATCATTATTACCATCCTTCATGGATCCTGCAGTCCAGATATGCTCTCTGATATCGCCCCTCGCTCGCACTCCAGCGGCAAAACAAGATCTTGTCGCACGTAAAGTGGCGTTGACAATTAAAATCGACGCCGCTGCAGTTGTTCGTCCTCGACCAATTCAGTTTGCTATTAATCTGTGTCAATCCCTTCAGATAATCCCGAATCGGCTATGCGATTAAAAATGGAGAGTGAAAAGGGCGTGATGTTTATTTTTGTTAAACTTTCTTTTTGCCTTTTTTGCCTCACAAACAGTCAGGCTGTGGTACAGTATAATTGTTACATAAGGTATTGCGGTAACTTCAGTAACTGCGGCTGTGTTATAGCCAAAGATTAGGACCCTGGTATCAAAGCACCAGAGGGTTCAGAGATTCAACCTGGCCACTAATTGGTGACCCAGTGGAGGAGTAGCAGTGATCCAATTAGTGTTCCTGTCCAGGACTCCCCATGCATACACAAGACTGTAAATGTGAGATTTTTATTTATTTTTATACTTGTTTTATAGTAAAATTATTTTTCATACTGACATTCTACAATTTCTTTATTGCAGGTTCAAGTGTTTGGACTCTACACAAGAGAGGGCTTCCATGAGAACTTTGACTGTCCTGTCAAAGTAAGCAGATTTCATATGCATGTACTTCTTTTAACTTCATACTTTTAGTTGAGAGTATATGTACGTGGTGGTATACTAATATAGTCAGGGCATCTCCAGAGAGCCCCCATCATTGCTTATAAACTCTTGGTGCATTCTAAATGGATCCACTTGCCATGTTCTCCAGGTGGTGGCGCTACACCCTCGGTTCAGCAGTTCAAACTACAAACAATTTGTCACAGGAGGCAACAAGGTGAGATTGAAAGGTATTTTTCAATGTGATTACAGTATATAGCCCATCTCAACAGTGTTAGCGGTGTAGTTGAAAACTGTTGAGCATTAGCTAATGTGGATAGAATATTAGCCATAGTTTTTCAAAATAATTCTTATAGATTCTGTTCTTGCGAGCATCCTCCCTTGTGCTTGGCTGATGGCTGTGCACACATACTGTAGGCCTCTGTTGGCTGGTGTGAAATGCTCTTACTTTTCCCTGTCTCTCTTCTGGAGTGCACTCCAGGGAGAGCGGCCCATTTTCACAAAGTGCTGCTCGCTCAACAGTGTTTGAAAGGCAATGCTTCATAAGCACACCAAATAGATGTCATTATCAGGAGGACCCATAGTCTTAGGGTCCCGGGCAGGCAGGCATACAGCAGTTTCTTCTCTAATTTGTCTTAGTGGGTAAGAGCGTTGTGCCAGTAACCGAAAGGTCGCTGGTTCTAATCCCCGAGCCGACTAGGTGAAAAATCTGTTGACGTGCCCTTAAGCAGGGCACTTAACCCTAATTACTCCTGTAAGTCGCTCTGGATAAGAGCGTCTGCTAAATGACTAAAATGTAAATGTCTCAGAAGACACTTGATATATTAGGTATTAATGTTCCCTTTTGATTGACAAAGACTGCAGTCTGCAGCATCACTTAGTATAAATGGTCAAATAGACAAAATATCTGTACAGTACTGTATTTCAATGACCATTGGAGGAGAAAAAAAGCTGTATACATATCTACAACACTGGTGAGAGTAAAGGTGTTTAAGCTACTGGAATCATCCAATCACCTTTATTTTCTTATGAAATGCTCATTGTTAGTGTTGCCATTTTCTTTCAATTGGTACTGATTTCTTTCCTCTCCCTGTTCTCAAGACCCTCCATAAAGCACCCTGTGATGAAAATCAATAAGCCTCAACTGGAGTCACATCCTGTCAAAGGCAATTCAATTCTGTCTCCACAGTTCTGCCAGTGTAATATCCTCTCTTTGTGGAGAGAACTGTTAAACATTTTCAGACTTTTGAATTGGAGGCCGGGGCTCTCTCTCACCTCACTCACCCGATCATAATAACTATAGGGTATTGTTCATCCGTCTGTATGACACTGAGAGATGCTTTTAAAGGGCCTGAAAAGCTTTTTATGTATATGGACTCTCAGGTGACGCCACCGCCGTCTACAGAATGACTGGAAAGAGTGACTACAGCCATCATTGTCTCAAAGCCATTGACTAGAATCAAAGTGATTTAGAGAAATATGGCGAAGGCTTTGTCTGTCAAACCTACTGAAGTAATTAGAAGTAAAGTATTTTATTATGAAGGTGATCTGTGTTTGAAGACCAAATCCTTCATGCCATCTTTAGTTTTCCATTCCACTTCTTTAGTCACATAATGTCATGCATACACATTGATAGGTTAGTTGAATCATGTGAAGATAGATCATGTCTGCTCACTGAGTTGAAGTAAGTTGAAAGACAGTGTCTGTTTACTTAAAATGTATGATAAAGCTCAAGTTGAGTACAATCCTCCCGCTCTGGGAGACCCACTGACACAACAGACTACCCTCCTGTCCCTGTACTTTACTGCCCTCTGGTGGTGGAAATACAGAACCGCAAACCACTGCTCTAAGGACACGATTGTTTGTGCTTGTTTTTGAAACAATGGTGCTGATTTGGATATCATTGGTGATTCTGATGTGAATTTTTTTTTTGTTGCCTTCCCAAGCTGCTGCTGTACGAGAAGAACTGGCTGAACCGCTGGAAGACGTCCACTCTGCACGAGGGGGAGGGCACCATCACTAACGTCCAATGGAGGGCCAATCTCATTGCCTGGGCCAACAATATGGTAAATAAGGATAACTGTCAAAGCTGCAGATACGTGGCAACAAGAAACATGATGATTAGTTTAGTTTATATTTAGTTATACAGTACCAGTCAAAAGTTTGGACACACCTACTCATTCCAGTTTTTTGGGGGGGATTCTTCAAATATCCACCATTTTCCTTGATGACAGCTTTGCACACTCTTGGCATTCTCTCAACCAGCTTCGTGAGATAGTCACCTGGAATGCATTTCAATTACAGGTGTGCCTTCTTAAAAGTTAATTTGTGGAATTTCTTTACTTCTTAATACGTTTGAGCCAATCAGTTGTGTTTTGACAAGGTGGGGGGGGGGGGTATACAGAAGATAGCCCTATTTGGTAAAAGACCAAGTCCATATTATGGCAAGAACAGCTCAAACAAGCAAAGAGAAACGACAGTCCATCATTACTTTAGGACATGAAGGTTAGTCAATATGGAACATTTCAAGAACTTTTAAAGTTTCTTCAAGTGCAGTCGCAAAAACCATCAAGCGCTATGATGAAACTGGCTCTCATGAGGACCGCCACAGGAATGGAAGACCCAGAGTTACCTCTGCTGCAGAGGATAAGTTCATTAGAGTTACCAGCCTCAGAAATTGCAGCCCAAATAAATGCTTCACAGAGTTCAAGTAACAGGCATCTCTCAACATCAACTGTTCAGAGGGGACTGTGTGAATCAGGCCTTCATGGCCGAATTGCTGCAAAGAAACCACTACTAAAGGACACCAATAAGAAGAAGAGACTTGCTTGGGCCAAGAAACACAAGCAATGGACATTAGACCGTTGGAAATTTGTCCTTTGGTCTGGAGTCCAAATTGGAAATGTTTGGTTCCAAGCGCCGTGGCTTTGTGAGATATGGTGTGGGTGAACGGATGATCTCCGCATATGTATTTCCCACCGTAAAGCATGGAGGGGGAGTGTTATGGTGTGGGGGTGCTTTGCTGGTGACACCGTCTGTGATTTATTTAGAATTCAAGGCACACTTAACCACCATGGCTACCACAGCATTCTGCATTGATACGCCATCCCATCTGGTTTGGGATTAGTGGGACTATCATTTGTTTTTCAACAGGACAATGACCCAACACACCTCCAGGCTGTGTAAGGGCTATTTTACAAAGAAGGAGATTATTGGAGTGCTGCATCAGATGACCTGGCCTCCACAATCCCCCGACCTCAATCCAATTGAGATGGTTTGGGATGAGTTGGACGGCAGAGTGAAGGAAAAGCAGCCAACAAGTGCTCAGCATATGTGGAAACTCCTTCAAGACTGTTGGAAAAGCATTCCAGGTGAAGCTGATTGAGAGAATGCCAAGATTGTGCAAAGCTGTCATCAAGGCAAATTGTGGCTATTTGAAGAATCTCAAATATAAAATATTTTTTGATTTGTTTAACACTTTTTTGGTTACTACATGATTCCATATGTGTTTTATTTCATAGTTTTGATGTCTTCACTATTATTCTACAATGTATAAAATAGTAAAAATAAAGAAAAACCTTTCAATGAGTAGGTGTGTCCAAATATCATTATGGTAATGATGATGATGATGATGGAAATTGACTTTATTGTATCTGTTAGGATTTATATTGCGTCATACATGTCAGAGCATGTCATCTTACATAGATTAGTGCATTAGACGTACAGACATATTATAGTGAACATGCTCTATTTGTCTTGGTCTCTTCCAGGGGGTGAAAATTTACGACATCAGCACCAAACAGCGAATCACCAACGTCCTGCGGGATAATGTCAGCCTGCGGCCTGATATGTACCCCTGCAGTCTGTGCTGGAAAGACAACTCCACCCTCATCGTCGGCTGGGGCTCCTCCATTAAGATATGTGCCGTGAAGGAGAGGGGCCACGCAGAGTTGAGAGACCTTCCTAGCCGTTATGTGGAAATTGGTGAGGACATGTAGCGTATTGTACAGTAGATAACAAAATGTTTTGTAGAGCTTTAATGTATAATGTGGGAGCATTAGTTTGGAGTTGTAGTGATGTGGGTTTCTTCTCTCCTGCAGTGTCTGCGTTTGAAACAGAGTTCTTCATCAGTGGCCTGGCGCCTCTAGCCGACCAGTTGGTCACCCTGTACTTTGTGAAGGAGAACTCTGATCACATGGTAATTTTGGGTTTAGAAACTGTAGATGTGTTGTATGATGGAATGGCTTAAGTGGTCACAGCCATGGTATTTAAATGTTGATATTTTCTGTATGTGTGGGTTTACGTGTGTGTGTGTGTGTGTGTGCTCACTGGTGCATCTGTATGTATATACAGTGCCTTTAGAAAGTATTCACACCCCTTTTACGTTTTCCACATTTTGTTGTGTTACAGCCTGAATGTAAAATGGATTAGATTGAGATTTTGTGTCACTGATCTACACACAATACCACATAATGTCCGACATTTTGACAAATTAATAAAAAGTGAAAAGCTGAAATGTCTTCAGTCAAGTATTCAACCACATTGTTATGGCTGCCCTAAGTAAGTTCAGGAGTAAAAATCACATAATAAGTTGCATGGACACATTCTGTATTCAATAATAGTGGATAACACGATTTTTGAATGACTACCCCATCTCTGTATCCCACACATACAATTATCTGTAAGGTCCTTCAATCCAGTAGTGAATTTCAAGCACCGATTCAACCACAAATACCAGGGAGGTTTTCCAATGCCTTGCAAAGAAGGGCACTGATTGGTAAATGGCAGACACTGAATATCCCTTTGAGCGTGGTGAAGTTATTAATTAGGCTTTGGATGGTGCTTCCTTCCTAACTCGGTTGCCTTGAGAGGAAGGAAACCGCTCAGGGATTTTACCATGAGGCCAATGGTGATTTTAAAACAGTTACAGAGTTTAATGATTGTGATATGAGAACTGAGGATGGATCAACAACATTGTAGTTACTCCACAATACTAACCTAATTGACAGAGTGAAAAGAAGGATGCCTGTACAGAATAAACGTATTCCAAAATATGCTTCCTGTTTGCAACACTTAAGTAAAACTGCAAAAAAATTGGCAAAGAAATGTACGTTTTGTCTTGAGTACAAAGTGTTATGTTTGGGGCATATTTTCAAGCATGGTGGTGGCTGCATCATGTTATGGGTATGCTTGTCATCTGCAAGAATTAGGGAGATTTTTAGGATAAAAATAAACAGAATACAGCTATAAGCACAGGCAAAATCCTAGAGGAAAACCTGGTTCAGTCTGCTGGGAGACAAATTCACCTTTCACCTTTCAAGGGCAAATCTACACTGGAGTTGCTTACCAAGACGACATTGAATGTTCCTGAGTTACAGTTTTGACTTAAAGTACTTGAAGAATTAATATAATATTGTACAATCCAGGTGTGCAAAGCTCTTAAAAAACTCACAGCTGTAATCGCTGCCAAAGGTGTTTCTAATATTGACTCGGGGGTGAATGCTTATCTAATCAAGATATATTAGTGTTTTCGTTTTCATTAATAAAAATATATAAACATTTTTGTCCACTTTTAAGAGTATTTTGAGTAGATAATAAACAAAAATGACAAATCCATTTCAATCCCACTTTGTAATAATACAGTTGAGTGTATATACTTTCTGAAGGCTCTGTATATGCCATTTGTGTATGTGAGATCAGGAGGAGGAGTTCAGAGCGCGGCCTTGTCTGGACATCATCCAGCCTCTTCCAGAGGGCTACGAGGAAATCTCATCAGATGCCCTGACCGTCCGCAACTTCCAGGAGAACGAGTGTCGAGACTACCGTCTGGGTGAGCCAATCAGAAATGTCTCCCCGGCAAACACTACTCAGAGACACTCTGTATTTACAGATATTTCTAGCTACTATATATATCATATACTATCATATACTAAAGATCATTCCAGCATTCTCTGTCCTGTACCTTCATGTGTCAACAGAACATTCCGAGGGAGAATCCCTCTTCTACATCATCAGCCCTAAAGACATTGTGGTGGCCAAAGAGAGAGACCAGGATGACCACATTGACTGGCTGCTGGACAAGAAGAAGTATGAGGTTGGTGTTATAATCATCCAATCAAGCAGACTTCATGTGGGGACTTCGTATTTTGCTGCGATATATCTTCTGTGTTCAGTAATAATGCGTTATACCTGTCGGCTGTTACCATGTTACCAAAACTTATTTTCTCTCTCACAGGAAGCTCTGATGGCTGCCGAGATCAGCTTCAAGAACATTAAACGCCATGAAGTCCAGGTGCTGTATAGGCATTGGACATGTCAAGTGCTGTTCCTACCTGGAATAATGCTATTCCTTGCTATTCATGGGCTATTTCTACTCCTATTTTACCTACACGTACAGTATCAGTCAAAAGTTTGGACTCACCTACTCATTCAAGGGTTTTTCTTTATTTTTTAACTATTTTCTACATTGTAGAATAATAGTAAAGACATCAAAACTATGAAATAACACATATGGAATCATGTAGTAACCAAAAAAGTGTTAAACAAATCAAAATATATTTTATATTTGAGATTCTTCAAAGTAGCCACCCTTTGCCTTGATGACAGCTTTGCACACTCTTGGCATTCTCACAACCAACTTCACCTGGAATGCTTTTCCAACAGTCTTGAAGGAGTTCCCACATATGCTGAGCACTTGTTGGCTGCTTTTCCTTCACTCTGCTGTCCGACTCATCCAAAACCATCTCAATTGGGTTGGGAATTGTGGAGGCCAGGTAATCTGATGCAGCACTCCATCACTCTCCTTCTTGGTAAAATAGCCCTTACACAGCCTGGAGGTGTGTTGGGTCATTGTCCTGTTGAAAAACAAATGATAGTCCCACTAAGCCCAAACCAGATGGGATGGCATATCGCTGCAGAATGCTGTGGTAGCCATGCTGGTTAAGTGTGCCTTGAATTCTAAATAAGGCAGTGTCACCAGCAAAGCACCCCCACAACCATAACAGCTCCTCCTCCATGCTTTACGGTGGGAACTACACATGCGGAGATCATCGCGTCTCACAAAGACACGGCGGTTGGAACCAAAAATCTCCAATTTGGACTCCAGACCAAAGGACACATTTCCACCGGTCTAATGTCCATTGCTCGTGTTTCTTGGCCCATCAGGTCTCTTCTTATTGGTGTCCTTTAGTAGTGGTTTCTTTGCAGGAATTCGACCATGAAGTTCTGATTCACACAGTCCCCTCTGAACAGTTGATGTTGAGATGTGTCTGTGACTTGAACTCTGAAGCATTTACTTGGGTTGCAATTTCTGAGGCTGGTAACTCTATTGAACTTTTCCTCTGCAGCAGATGTAACTCTGGGTCTTCCATTCCTGTGGCGGTCCTCATGAGAGCCAGTTTCATCATAGCGCTTGATGGTTTTTGCGACTGCACTTGAAGAAACTTTCAAAGTTCTTGAAATGTTCTATATTGACTGACCTTGTGCAAAGCTGTCATCAATGCAAAGGGTGGATATTTGAAGAATCTGAAATCTCAAATATATTTTGATTTGTTTAACACTGTTTTGGTTACTACATGATTCCATATGTGTTATTTCATTGTTTTGATGTCTTCACTATTATTCTACAATGTAAAAAAATTGTAAGAATTAAGAAAAACCCTTGAATGAGTAGGTGTGTCCAAACTTTTGACTGGTAGTGTATGTATTTTACCAGATCACAACCCACTTCAGCAAATTAACAGTATGAATCATACCTTTCCTACACCTTTCACCTTGCAAATACATACATATTGCTAACCCTAAACTGCAGAGAACACATCACCTGTGCGCCTGTCCCCTCATACAGGTTCTCTCATGTCTCACACTAGCTACAAACCATTTCCGCTTTTCTCTCTGTGCTGCAGTGGAAGAAGCCTCATTGGGTCTCTTTTTTTCGAACTAAAATAATCGGGTTACATTTGAAAATGTATTTCCTAGTCCAAGGAGCAAAGGTACACTACCGTTCAAAAGTTTGGGGTCAATTAGAAATGTCCTTGTTTTCCATGAAAACATACATGAAATTAGTTTGAATAGGAAATATAGCAAAATGCATAGGAAATGTAGTCATTGACAAGGTTAGAAATAATGATTTTTAATATAAATAATAATTGTGTCCTTCAAATGTTGCTTTTGTCAAAGAATTCTCCATTTGCTGCAGTTACAGCCTTGCAGACCTTTGGCATTCTAGTTGTCCATTTGTTGAGGTAATCTGAAGAGATTTCACCCAATGCTTCATGAAGCACCTCCCACATGTTGGATTGGCTTGATGGGCACTTCTTACGTACCATACGGTCAAGCTGCTCCCACAACAGCTCAATAGGGTTGAGATCCAGTGACTGTGCTGACCACTCCATTATAGACAGAATACCAGCTGACTTCTTCTTCCCTAAATAGTTATTGCATAGTTTGGAGCTGTGCTTTGGGTCATTGTCCTGTTGTAGGAGGAAATTGGCTCCAATCAAGCGCCGTCCACAGGGTATGGAATGGCGTTGCAAAATGGAGTGAAAACCTTCCTTACATTTACATTTTAGTCATTTAGCAGACGCTCTTATCCAGAGCGACTTACAGTTAGTGAGTGCATACATTTTTTTTCTCCTTTTTTTCCCTCATACTTCCTTCTTCAAGATCCCTTTTACCCTGTACAAATCTCCCACTTTACCACCACCAAAGCACCCCCAGACCATCACATTGCCTCCACCATGCTTGACAGATGGCATCAAGCACTCCTCCAGCATCTTTTCATTTGGTCTGCGTCTCACAAATGTTCTTCTCTGTGATCCGAACACCTCAAACTTTGATTTGTCTGTCCATAACACTTTTTCCAATCTTCCTCTGTCCAGTGTCTGTGTTCTTTTGCCCATCTTAATCTTTTATTTTTATTGGGCAGTCTGAGATATTCTGGTTAGAGACAGTTTGCGCTGTTCTGTGAAGGGAGTAGTACACAGCGTTGTACGAGATCTTCAGTTTCTTGGCAATTTCTCGCATGGAATAGCCTTCATTTCTCAGAACAAGAATAGACTGACGAGTTTCAGAAGAAAGTTATCTGTTTCTGGCCATTTTGAGCCTGTAATCGAACCCACAATTGCTGATGCTTCAGATACTCAACTAGTCTCAAGAAGGCCAGTTTTATTGCTTCTTTAATCAGCACAACAGTTTTCAGCTGTGCTAACATAATTGCAAAAGGGTTTTCTAATGATCAATTAGCCTTTTAAAATGATAAACTTGGATTAGCAAACACAACGTGCCATTGGAACACAGGACTGATGGTTGCTGATAATGGGCCTCTGTACGCCTATGTAGATATTCCATTAAAAATCAACCGTTTCCAGCTACAATAGCCATTTACAACATAAAAAATGTCTACACTGTATTTCTGATTAATTTGATGTTATTTTAATGGACAAAAGAATTGCTTTTCTTTAAAAAACAAGGACATTTCTAAGTGACCCCAAACTTTTGAACAGTAGTGTACATCTAATTATGAACAGTTTGTATTGCTCTTTCTGGAATGCCATTGCTCCTTGGATGGAAGGCTAGACTTCTTTAAAAAACGATTCTATGTTTTTCAAACCATATCCTAACTTACTCACAAGCATTTTATGGGTTAAAAAAAACTTGGAGCTAGTCAACCTTTACTGTGTTTCACCCATTTACTTAATGGGGTGACCCCTAGTATCAAATCAAATTTTATTTGCCACATGCGCTGAATACAACAGGTGTAGACATTACAGTGAATTGCTTACTTACAAGCCCTTAACCAACAATGCATACAAGTGTTTAGTAAAAAAAATTAAAACAAATAACTAAAGAGCAGCAGTAAAATAAAATAACAGTAGGGAGGCTATACACAGGGGGGTACCGGTGCAGAGTCAGGGCACCGCCTAGTCGAGGTAATATGTACATGTGGGTAGAGTTAAAGTGACTATGCATAAATAATAGACAGAGTAGCAGCAGCGTAAAAGAGGGGGGTGGGGGGGGCAGTGCAAATAGTCAGGGTAGCAATGATTAGCTGTTCAGGAGTCTTATGGCTGTTGAGAAGCCTTTTGGACCTAGACTTGGCGCTTCGGTACCGCTTGCTGTGCCGTAGCAGAGAGAACAGTCTATGACTAGGGTGGCTGGAGTCTTTGACAATTTTGAGGGCCTTCTTCTGGTATAGAGGTCTTGGATGGCAGGAAGCTTGGCCCCAGTGATGTACTGGGCCGTACGCACTACCCTCTGAAGTGCCTTGTGGTCAGAGGCCGAGCAGTTGCCATACCAGGCGGTGATGCAACCAGTCAGGATGCTCTCAATGGTGCAGCTGTAGAACTTTTTGAGGATCTAAGGACCTATGCCAAATCTTCAGTCTCCTGAGGGGGAATAGGCTTTGTCGTGCTCTCTTCACGACTGTCTTGGTGTGTTTGGACCATGATAGTTCGTTGGTGATGTGGACACCAAGGAACTTGAAGCTCTCAACCTGTTCCACTACAGCCCCGTCAATGAGAATGGGGGCGTGCTCAGTCCTCTTTTTTTTCCTGTAGTCCACAATCATCTCCTTTGTCTTGATCACGTTGAGGGAAAGGTTGTTATCCTGGCACCACACGGCCAGGTCTCGGATCTCCTCCCTATAGGCTGTCTCATCGTTGTCGGTGATCAGGCCTACCACTGTTGTGTCGTCAGCAAACTTAATGATGGCATTGGAGTCGTGCCTGGCCATGCAGTCATGGGTGAACAGGGAGTACAAGAGGGGACTGAGCACGCACCCTTGAGGGGCCCCCGTGTTGTGGATCAGCGTGGCAGATGTTGTTACCTACCCTTACCACCTGGGGGCGGCCCGTCAGGAAGTCCAGGATCCAGTTGCAGAGGTAGGTGTTTAGTCCCAGGATCCTTAGCTTAGTGATGAGCTTTGAGGGCACTATGGTGTTAAACGCTGAGCTGTAGTCAATGAACAGCATTCTCACATACATGTTCCTCTTGTCCAGGTGGGAAAGGGCAGTGTGGAGTGCAATAGAGATAGCATCATCTGTGGATCTGTTGGGGCGGTATGCAAATTGGAGTGGGTCTAGGGTTTCTGGGATAATGGTGTTGTTGTGAGCCATGACCAGCCTTTCAAAGCAATTCATGGCTACAGACGTGATTGGTAGTCATTTAGGAAGGTTATCTTAGTGTCTGCTTGAAACATGTTGGTATTACAGACTCAGTCAGGGACATGTTGAAAATGTCAGTGAAGACACTTGCCAGTTGGTCAGCACATGCTCGGAGTACAAGTCCTGGTAATCCGTCTGGCCCTGCGGTCTTGTGAATGTTGACCTGCTTAAAAGTCTTACTCACATCGGCTACGGAAAGCGTGATCACATTGTCATCCGGAACAGCTGGTGCTCTCATGCATGCTTCAGTGTTGCTTGCCTCTAAGCGAGCATAGAAGTTATTTAGCTCGTCTGGTAGGCTTGTGTCACTAGGCAGCTCCCGGCTGTGCTTCCTTTTGTAGTCTGTAATAGTTTTCAAGCCCTGCCATATCCGACGAGTGTCAGAGCCAGTGTAGTACGATTCAGTCTTAGTCCGGTATTGACTCTTTGCCTTTTTGATGGTTAGTCGGAGGGCGTAGCGGGATTTCTTATAAGCGTCCAGGTTAGCGGCACCTCTACCCTTTAGCTCAGTGCGGATGTTGCCTGTAATCTATGGCTTCTGGTTGGGGTATGTACATACGGTCACTGTGGGGACGATGTCATCGATGCACTTATTGATGAAGCCAGTGACTGATGTGGTGTACTCCTCAATGCTATCTGAAGAATCCCGGAACATATTCCAGTCTGTGCTAGCAAAACAGTCCTGTAGCTTAGCATCTGTATCATCTGACCACTTTTTTATTAACCAAGCTTTAGTTGTTGCTTATAAGCAGGAATCAGGAGGATAGAGTTATGGTCAGATTTGCCAAATGGAGGGCGAGGTAGAGCTTTGTATGCGTCTCTGTGTGTGGAGTAAAGGTGGTCTAGAGTTTTTTTTTTCCCTCTGGTTGCACATTTAACATGCTGGTAGAAATTAGGTAGAACGGATTTAAGTTTCCCTGCATTAAAGTGTCCGGCCGCTAGGAGCGCTGCCTCTGGATGAGCGTTTTCCTGTTTACTTATGGCCTTATACAGCTCATTGAGTGCAATCTTAATCGGTTTGTGGTGGTAGATAGACAGCTACGAAAAATATAGATAAAGTATCTTGGTAAATAGTGTGGTCTACATCTTATCATGAGATACTCTACCTCAGGCGAGCAAAACCTTGACACTTCCTTAGTATTAGATTTTGTGCACCAGCTTGATTTTACCATAGTGAGCTCCAAAAGTATTGGGAGAGTGAAACATTTTAATTGTTTGGGCTCTGTATTCCAGCACTTTGTATTTGAAATGATAAAATGACTGAGGTTAAAGTGCAGACTGTCAGCTTTAATTTGAGGGTATTTTCATCCATATGGGTGAACCGTTTAGGAATGACTACACTTTTTGTACATAGTCCCCCCAGGTTAGGGTACTAAAAGTATTGGGACAAATTCACATATGTGCATTAAAGTACTAAAAAGTTGAGTATTTGGTCCTGTATTCATAGCACACAATGACTGCATCAAGCTTGTGACTCAAAACATTTGTTGGATGCATTTGCTGTTTGTTATGGTTGTGTTTCAGATTATTTTGTGCCCACTAGAAATTAATGGTAAATAATGTATTGTGTCATTTTGGAGTCACTTTTATTGTAAATAAGAATAGAATACAGTATGTTTCTCAACACTTCTACATTAATGTGGATGCTACCATGATTACAGATAATCCGGAATGATGAGTGAATAATGATGAGTGAGAAAGTTAGACGCACAAATATCATACCCCCCCCCCCTCCCAAAAAAAAAAAGCTAACCTCCCCAGTTATTTTAATGTTGAGCGATTAGCATGTCTTGGGGTTTTGATATTTGTACGTCTAACTTTCTCACTCATCATTATTCACGATTCAGTCAGGATTATCCGTAAGCATGGTAGCATCCACCAAATATGTAATGTTTTACTACTTTAATACACACACAAGTGAATTTGTCCCAATACTTTAGGTCCCCTAAAATGGGGGGGACTATGTACAAAACATTTTGTAATTTCTAACCGGTTCACCCGATATTGAATAAAGCTGACAGTCTGCACTTTAACCTCCATAGGAATTATCATTTTAAATCCAAAGTGCTGGAGTAGAGAACCAAAGAGACACAAAAAAGTGTCACTGTCCCAATACTTTTGGAGCTCACTGCATGTCTTCAAGCCTTGACACACTGCAACCCCTTAGTTGTCCAATTTTCTAATGAAAATCTAAGACCTCCATTACTTTCTTCACTTTAAGTTGGTTGGTGCTGTGGTTTTATAGGAATTCTTACATTTACATTTTAGTCATTTAGCAGATGCTCTTATCCAGAACGACTTACAGTTAGTGAGTGCATACATTTTTCATACTGGCCCCCCGTGGGAATCGAACCCACAACCCTGGCGTTGCAAGCGCCATGCTCTACCAACTGAGCTACAGGAGGCCTATTCTTGACATTAATAATGAGTTACAGATCTGAGGTCAAGGAAAAGAATGAAGTAGATTATTTAGTTTTTTTGGAAACAACATTTGATGAAATTACAGAGGATACAGTCCATTACTCATGTTGTGTTCCCTAATGGAGTGTCTTTTCTTTTGTAATCAGAAAATTGGAATGGCCTACATCAATCACCTGGTGGAGAAAGGTGACTATGACACCGCTGCCAGGTACTACAGTCTTTTTTAGTTATTTCAGTTGAGTGTTTCTTCTGCAAAATACCAGTATAAGTATGACTTATTTTCTCTCTTTCTCGTGTTCTCTTAAATCCAGGAAGTGTCAGAAGGTGCTGGGAAAAAACATGGAACTCTGGGAGAATGAGGTGTACAGGTTCAAAACCATTGGGCACTTGAAGGTGAGTCAGGCCACATTGTGACCTTGTGATGAATTATGGCATTAGAGACTTTGAGCAAGTTTTGGAAGTAACAATACTTTCAGTATTGCCCTCAGTATTAACTGTTGTTGTAATTCTCTGTATCGTTTTCCTTCCCTCCCATCTCTCTCCTTTTGTTTTCCCACCTCTCCTCATGTCTCTGCCTCTCCAGGCCATCAGTCAGTACTTGCCCAGGGGGGACCTGCGTCTCAGACCTGCCATCTATGAGATGATCTTACATGAGTTTCTAAAGTCGGACTATGAGGTATGTCTGTCTGTTCCTAATGGTCTGGTGGTCTTCTAACTGCCTTATATTATAACTCATATTATAACATGTACTTAAGAAGAACCAAATATAATAGCATTAAATATGAACTCATTTAACCAGCCTCTCTCTGCAACCTCTTTCTCCAAGGGCTTTGCCACGTTGATCCGTGAGTGGCCAGGAGAGCTCTACAATAACATGACCGTTGTTCAGGCAGTCACCGACCACCTCAAGAAGGACCCCACGAACAGCACCCTGCTCACCACACTGGCTGAACTGTGAGTGACTCTACACTGGCTTGACCATTTTGATTGACTTCATTACACTCTCAATTGCTGCAATGCTTATTTCCCTCTGATATATTGAGAGAGATATATAGTACCACTGAGCTGTGTGTTTCTTCCCTCCATGCAGGTATACATATGACCAGCGGTATGACCGAGCCCTGGAGATCTACCTGAGACTGAGGCATAAAGATGTTTACCAGCTGATCCACAAACACAACCTCTTCTCCTCCATAGAAGACAAGATTGTGCTCCTCATGGACTTTGATAAAGAGGTGGTTAGCAAGCACATGCACAATCTTTTGATAAAGTACACTCCTTGCTGTATCATAGGACCTTGCTACTGTATGTTATGTGTATAATTGTCCTTTACTTGAATAGTAATATCAACTTGCCTTTTTTAAAAGTCAGTCTTTGAGTGCTTTAAACTGTGCAAAAGTCATGGAAAACCTATATTTTGAGTCCTTGTGCCTCGTGCACACAGCTCTTATTGCATTTGGATTGTCTGACCACAAAGGTCATAAGTCACTTTGTGTCTCCTTGTCTGAAGAATGGCCTCTCTTTATTTGTGTTGTCAGAAAGCTGTCGACATGCTCCTGGATAACGAAGACAAAATATCGGTATGTGTACTTGGCTTCCCCTGATCTTTCTTGGAGAGTTTCAAATGAAAGCACATGCTGTTCGCTAATCATATTTCTGTCTACAGATTGACAGAGTGGTGGAGGAACTCGGGGACAGGCCTGAGCTGCTACACATTGTGAGGCACACTACGAGTTCTTTAGTGATTATACGTTTTTTAATTTCCTATGATTTTCTTGATTTGAAAATTGTGTTTCACCTCCTTCTCTCAGTATCTCCACAAACTATTCAAGAGGGACCACCACAAGGGTCAGAGGTACCATGAGAGACAAATTGGCCTGTATGCTGAGTACGATCGGCCCAACCTGCTGCCATTCCTGAGAGACAGCATCCACTGCCCACTAGAAAAGGTACTGAGAGACACTTTCACACTGTGTGCGCAAATACAAATGTCCATGAAATACATTTATTCACATTTAGATGTATATTATCTTATCAAGTATGTCAGATGACGTTAGAAGAAGAATGAATAATCGTACTTGTAAAACTTGTGTGTTGTAACTGCCTTCCCTTTATTTTTTAGGCTCTGGAAATTTGTCAGGAGAGAAACTTTGTGGAGGAGACTGTCTTCCTGCTCAGTAAGTGTCCCCTTACAGTTTCTGTGACATTAATAACGTTCATGAATAAGCCATTATAACTGCTTTATAAATTGTTAGAAAGGCTTTTAGATATGGGGGCAAGCTGAACTAAACCTCCAGCCAGTCAGGTAACTAATTACATTTGGTCTGAGGAAACTGACCCACTGTAACTTGTCCCTCATAGGCAGGATGGGGAACTGTAGAAGGGCTCTTCAGATGATCATGGAGGAACTGGAGGATGTGGACAAGGCCATAGAGTTCGCCAAGGAGCAGGATGACGCCGAGCTGTGGGAGGATCTCATCTCGTATTCCATCGATAAGCCACGTAAGTCACGTGAATACAGAAGCACTTTCAAATGATCAGGTCTACTACATAGTGTTTCCACAGGTGTCATTTTAAGTTTCTGTCTTTTTCCTCTCTCAAGCCTTCATTACTGGTCTCCTCAATAACATTGGGACACACGTGGATCCCATTTTGCTCATCCACCGCATAAAGGAGGGCATGGAGATTCCTAACCTCAGAGACTCACTGGTCAAGATCCTACAAGACTACAACCTGCAGGTAGCCTAGCGGTTAGTGTTGGGCCAGTAACCGAAAGGTCACTAGTTCGAATCCCCGAGCCGACAAGGTGAAAAATCTGCCGACGTGCCCTTGAGCAAGGCACTTACCCCTAATTACTCCAGGGTCGCCGTTGATAATGGATTACCCTGGCCGTGACCCCACTCTCAGAGGCTGTCTCAGGGATAGTGGGATATGCAAAAAACACATTTCCAATTCACACATGAAATAGGACAAATATAAGCACCCACCAAATTGTATTATTATTATAGGTCAGAATATCAGCCATCACATAGTGTACCTAGAATATCACCGTAACAACAGCCTTGCCTCTTCTCGTAAAAGTTTTTGTTTCTCTCTCAGATCTTGCTCCGGGAGGGTTGTAAGAAGATCTTAGTGGCTGACTCGCTGTCACTGCTCCAAAAGATGCATAGGACTCAGATGAGAGGGGTCAGGGTGGATGGTGGGTAGTGATGTTTTGTGTGGAGTTGGAACATAACTACTTCGTTAAGCATTAGTTTTCATGTGTTTATTGTTTCATGTGTTTTGAAGTGTTGATTTATTTTTCAGAAGAGAACATATGTGAATCCTGTCATGCTTCAATATTACCATCAGGTGGGCTTGCCTTATTTAGCATTATAAAGTATAATGTTGCATATTCATATACAGTGTCTACACTTCAGTATTATAATTGGGATGCTTCTTACCATAATTACATTTGAAGCGATTCGAAACACCTCCATTCAGTTATGGCTCTAGCCATGAAACTCATCTGATTAGGCTTGCTGGTGAAGCTAGGTGTTTTAATGCAGAAGACGTACATTCATGTTTTGCTCCTTTGGCATAGATATGGCCCAGAACTTCAGTGTGGTGGTCTTCCACTGCAGACACATGTTCCACAAGGAGTGTTTACCTTCTCCTGGAACGGTAAGTATCAACCCCATCTCCTTTCATCCCCCTCTCATTCTCACTTCATATAGATTATGGACGTTCAGATGAGAGCAGCAGACCAGTGTCTAATATGGCTTTTGCCTTTACCTTCTTTCAGATTCCTGGGGTCCAGTTTTGCAACATCTGCAGTGCGAAGCGGAGAGGGCCAGGAAGTGGGATACTGGAGATGAAGAAGTAACAGGAAATGCTCACCTTATCATGCCATCACTTCATCTTTCCCCAGTTGGAGTGAATGGCAATCTCTGGGTTGATAGATTTAAGCTTATTCCACTGTCACAGTGTGCGCTGTTGTATCAAATGCATAATATGTTGTTATATTAAAGGTAGACTCAGCGATATGACGTAGATGCAGAAAGTAAACAGCATAGTGGGTAAATTTCCACAACAACTAAGAGCATTGAAGGGCGAGGCTCAACTTCTCTGCTGGTTTGGTGCCCTGGCTACCAGGCTGTAACGGTGTGAAGCGAACCCGTGCACATGCGCAGAGACTGTGTGACTGTGTGAGAGCGAAGTCTTGCATCTCGCTCATCCCAATATTTCACTGAGTCAACCTTTAACTGTTACTAAAATAAAATAGTATGCTGCACTATTTCCTCTTAATTCACTTCTTGCAATTTGCTTTGAACCTCAATGATCAATTAATTTAGGATTCCAAATAAAAGGCTTTTGAAATCTCAATGTGTGCAAGTGTGTTAAGTTATCTATAATTTTCACTCTAGCTCATTAAATAATATACTGTATGTAGTATTGGACCTTCTACAAGAATAACAAGACTTTTGGTCTTCAGTGACATTACATTTATTGGAAGGTATCACTTGTTTTATTGAGAAGGACTACACTCTGCTTAGAGAATGCAGCCCTGTCTACAGCATCTTCAAATAATATTTTAGTTGGATATCCTTTTCTTGGATATCCTTTTCTTGCCCTTATAGCACTTTTCATGTGTATCTCTTAGATTTGATCAGTAGTGCTTTGAAAACTGAGCTACTGACAAAGAAGAACATTAAGATGAAGCAGCTGCTTTTGAAGTGGGATGCACTGCTGAGCGCTACATCCCAAGGCGTTTGTGCTGATTGTACGGAGATTGTGACAGCCGGTTAAATGGCGTCCCTTGAGAGGGCAAGAAGTGCAGTATTATCACAAGGAAACGTCTACTTGGAGGAGGAATGGAGGGAAAAAGCGAGGCAGAGGAGGTTTAAGAGGGAGAGGTAGGAAGAGGGTGAGCTTGAGTCGGTTAAAAATGGCAGAAAAAAGGGAGGTGATTTGTTAAAGAAGAATGGTAGAAAGAGTACGCAGAGTGAGCCCGAGTCTTGCATCGAGGGTCAGGATAAAGATGAGTCTGTGACAGTAGGAGTGAAATTTGTTGGAAAAGTGGACCCTTGCCGTTTGGTTGATCCATTTGTGGTTTCAGTGTGGGTGAAAACAGAGTTTGGTGCTGTGGAATCGGTGAAGGTAACTAGAAGTGGTGTGGTGATAATTGTTTGTGTTTCTGCTGGTCAGAGGGAGCAGGCGCTCCACGTTTAACGAATGTGGACAAGAGAGGTAGATTGTTTTTCTCTCAAGGAAAGGGCGCCATTGAGAGGAGTGATTACTGGGGTAGGGGTAAATGTAAAAGTTGACCAACTGAAGGGGAAGATTCCCGGTGTTTGTGATGCTCGTCGTTTGGTGCGACAGACAGGGTGGCGTGAGTGGTGAAACAGAAGAGTCGTTGTCTGTTCTTTTGAGTTTTGATGTTGAGTCTTTGCCTGACAAAGGGATGTTAGCATATATAAGTTATCCCGTACGAGCTTTTGGGCCGAATACATTACGTTGTTACAGGTGTCAAGCGTATGGGCATGTGGCAGCAGTGTGTAGGAGGGAGTGTGAGAAGTGTGCAGAAGGGCATGAGACAAAGGAATGTGTAGCATTGAGGAAAGTAGTAGGGCTGGGGATCAGAAATGTCCGGTGCGAGAGAGGCAGGTTGAGGTTTCCAGGGTTAGAGTGGTGCTGAAGTTGTCATGCTGAGGCAGTGAATCAAGTAGAGGAAGGTGGGTCAAGGGGGAGGGATCCTGAGAGGAGTAGTAGATATGTACCAGTACAGAGGGATAGGCCAACAAGTGATATATGTTTCAGTAAGATTGTTTTTTTTAGCATTTATAGCAATGGTTATCAAAAGTACTGCAGGGATGGAACAGAAAATTGAGGTTGTGGTGGCAGCTGCAGAGAGGTATTTGGGTGTGTGTGACTTGATGTCAGAAGAGTTACAAGGTGTGTTAAGTGATGGTGTCCCATGCTTTCAGGCTGTTGGCCTGAGGAAGGACTAAATAGGTTTAAATAGTGGAGTATGGTTGGTGGGTTTTTAGTGAGTGTAGGGTTATATGGTAGGGTATTTGTTGATTTATTTGTTATTTGTATTTTATAAGGGAGTTATACTCCAGTCTAGTAGGTGGCTATAATGCAACATTTATTGGATGCCAACCACCGTTAAACCTCATCGAAGAAGAATAACTATCGCTTAAATTATTCTCACATCAGTACAAACTTTGCAAGAGTGTATGCATCATATATGTCACAAATTTTGGAACGCTCAACACGCCACAGCCCTGCCTCCTCACTTCCGGCATTTTGGCTCCGGAAGTACAGCACTTTTTTGGTTCACAGGGAAAGGAAAAAAAAACTGCTGTTGAAAAACAAAACAGCAAAGTGAGTTTTAGTGACGAATGTGATTATTTAATAGTTTTACTATAGTAATAAGTATCATAACAAATGACGAGATGTGATTTAGTTGGGCATCTTAGTTTGCTCTTGCGCATTTGTAGCTAGCTAAAATTATCTATCTAACTCGCTACGACGCTATGCTGTAACGTTAACGGTAATTCCCAAGTGTCTATCGTCTGCAAGCAAAGTGGTTTTCTTGCAATCGATTCAACAACAACTAGCGTGCTAATGTTAGCCTGCATCGTGAATGGATGGGAGTTTGATTATTGGAGTAACTAGCTAGGTAGCTCAATAGCTAGCTAGCTTTCTTGTTATATAGTTGCAGCTAGCTAACAACATAGCTAACTGTCTAGCCAGCCAGTATTAAGCTGTTGCGCTCATTACAGCAGGCTAACTAGCTAGTTAGTTTTCGTGCTGTTACTTAGCTAACTAGCAAATTCCAATTACTAGCTATTAGGCTACAGTAAAAGAGTTGATCAGTAACCATATATATCCCATGCTTCGAGTAAGTATTTAACGTTCATCTCTGTCATTGGCTGGCTTACTCTGATAGTTAGCAATGACTTAACATTGACAGAAGCACATACAGCTTACTTACCCCATGTAGAGTGGTTAGTGTAGCCTCAATGGGATTGACTGGGTATACATGTTCCATAATAACTATGACAACAAACACATGTGCCTATTGCCATTCATATGTTGCGTTCCTTTTTCTCTATAGAATGCCTGCCCCTAAAAGACAAGAGTCTTTTCAGGATCCTCAAGCTAAGAGAAGAAAGGTGGATCAGAATGAAGTCGCCATGCCATCCAACAAAACGACACCAGCCTCTGCAACGTCAAGCAACCCCCATAGAGCAGCACCTTTGCAGAGAAGGAATAAGAAAAAGTCCCCAGCAAAACTAAAAGAGGGAAATAAACCTGCAGGGTCCAGCCGCAATTCCTCCAAGACAAAATCAACCCAAAAGGCCACCACCAGGACCAAGTCCAATCCACCTGTAAAGAACGCCAAGCTGCTGAAAGCCACAAGTGCCTCCTCAAAGAATCCCAACTCTAAAGGAAACCTAAAAAGACCAGCCAAGACCACAGAGTCCGATGAGGAGCTTATCAGAACTCGTAAACCCCATTGCATCAGAAAATACTCTAATGGGGATAGAGGTAAGCGTAAAGGGTCACAGTCTAATCTGAATGAAGAAGTATTGCTCTCGGACCCTGTGCAGAGGGATCACAATTATGGTATACCCTATGTGTCTCGTGGTAGTCATTCTGGAAGTGAGGAAAATAAAAGGAAGGGAGTCAGAGAGTTCACCATAGGCCCAGAGACCCAAAGAGATGTGAAGATGGAAACTCAAATATCTTTAGAGCCCTTACCTGAACAATCTGGACAGATGAAGCGGAGCAGTGAGACACATGAGGTGCAGGATAATTCCATGACCACCCCAACAGATGAAGTTAGTGAGAGTGTCGAGACCAAGCCTGATACAAAAACAATGTCTCCTCCAGCATTCCCTGAGAAAGCTTCAGATCCCATCCATAAGCAGGTGAACCAGAATAATTCCATGACCACCCCAACAGATGAAGTTAGTGAGAGTGTCGAGACCAAGCCTGATACAAAAACAATGTCTCCTCCAGCATTCCCTGAGAAAGCTTCAGATCCCATCCATAAGCAGGTGAACCAGAATAATTCCATGACCACCCCAACAGATGAAGTTAGTGAGAGTGTCGAGACCAAGCCTGATACAAAAACAATGTCTCCTCCAGCATTCCCTGAGAAAGCTTCAGATCCCATCCATAAGCAGGTGAACCAGAATAATTCCATGACCACCCCAACAGATGAAGTTAGTGAGAGTGTCGAGACCAAGCCTGATCCAAAAACAATGCCTCCTCCAGCATTCCCTGAGAAAGCTTCAGACCCCGTCCATAAGCAGGTGAACCAGAGTAGTGAGACACATGAGGAGCAGAACGATTCAGTGACCATCCCTACAGATCAAGTTAGTGAGAGTGTAGAGAGCAAGTATGATGCATATAAAAAGTCTGCAGACCCCGTACCTGAACTGCTAAAACAGAGCACTGAGACACAGGATATGCAGGGAAATTCCATGACCACCCATGCAGATAAAGTTAATAAACATTTAGAGACTAAGGTCGATGTAAAAATATTGTCTCCTCCAGCCATAGGCTTAGTAGCATATAGTAGCAGTAGTGATTCTGAATGTGAAAGTGAGGAAAATGACAGGAAGGGAGTCACAGAGTCAATAGATGTGAAGATGAAAACTCAAGCATCTTCAGAGAAGGCTTCAGACCCTGTCCCTGAACAGGTGAAGCAGAGCAGTGAGACGATGCAGGAGGATTCCATGACCACCCCTACATATGAAGTTACTGAGGATTCCATGACCACCCCTACATATGAAGTTACTGAGGATTCCATGACCACCCCTACATATAAACTTACTGAGGATTCCATGACCACCCCTACATATGAAGTTACTGAGGATTCCATGACCACCCCTACATATGAAGTTACTGAGGATTCCATGACCACCCCTAGTGAGAGTGTAGACACCAAGCTTGATGCAAATATAAAGCCTCCATCTATAGAAGTATATTCAGAGGAGGCTTCAGACCCTGTCCCTGAACAGGTGAATCCTGAACAGGTGAATCAGATATACATCGACATACAGAAGGTGCAGGAAGATTCCTTGACCACCCCAACAGATGAAGTAAGTGAACGTTTAGATGGCACGCTTGATGCAGAAATAATGTCCCTTCCACCTTTAGAAGCATCCTCTGAGGAGACCCATGAAGTTGAAGTTAGTGAGAGTGTAGAGACCAAGTGTCCAGAACTTGCACCTGAACAAGTGATGCAGAGCACTCTCACACAGGAGATGCAGGGAGATTCCGCGCCAACCCCTGCAGATCAAGTAAGTGAGAGTGTAGACACCAAGCTTGATATCGAAGTAAAGTCTCCACCTGTAGAACTATCCTCTGAGGAGACTTCAGACAATGTCTCTGTCTCAGAACAGGTGATGCAGAGCAGTGAGACAAAGGAGGTCCAGGAAGATTCCACGACCACCCCTACAGATGAACTTAGGGAAAGTGTAGAAACAAAGTCGGTTGCTAAAATAAAGTCTCCATCCCTAGAGGTGCTTTTCAGTGCTCTAAAGGACTCCAGTCTTTGCAAACATCCCCTATCTCATACAATGCGCTCAAATGTCAAAGAGTTTCTGGAAGTAGAAGATTCTTTAGAAATCATGAAAAAAGACTGTGACTTTGGTGTAACCGAGAGCATTGAGTGTACTTTAGACCTCGAGACCCCGATTATTGTCGAGGATATGGAGATCGGCCACTGTGTTGTGGAGGTGGTGGGAGAGAATGGAGATGAGGTGGATAGTGATCTGGAAATCATAGACAACTCTGAGAGGCCAGAGAAGACACTCCAGCAAACCAAAGGGTCTGAAGAAGAGTGCAGTGTGGACAAAAGTGAAGATGGTACTGAAAAGAAATGTACAAGTTCCTCTAACCAAGACAGCACAAATAGTGGGAAGAAAGAAGCTGCTAAAAAGACACAGGATAGCCTGGAAAAACCCAAGAAACAGCAGATGAACCCTCAGGCCAGGACCAAAGCCCGACTAGCAGCGCTAGCTGAGCAAAAGGCAGCCGCCTCCAAAAAAGAGAGCAGGCAGCTCAACCTCCTGGCCCTATGTGAAGAAATAGCAGACGATATCGCCACTGACACCATGTTAATAAAGACGAAGGAGGAGGAGGAGGAGCAGGTTGTAACAGTTGAGGCTGAACCCAGCAAGGAGCCAGAATGCCCACCGCCTGTCACACAGGCTGAGACTGTTCCTATACCTCCAGCTCCTGCCGGACCCAAGGAACCCTCTCCACCCTCCGCTGAGGAGCCTGCTCCAGCCAAGCCCCCAGCTCCAGAGGTACCTCAGAGGCGTTTCTTCATCAGCCAAGTGACGATACCCCTCAAAATCCACGAGAAGAAGAAGCTTACCAGGTTCCAAAGGCTGCGGCAGGTGGAGCTGCAGCGGGAGAAGAATATGTCCTGGACCATGGTGAAGAAGCTCAAGTCCGATCAGAAGATGATTCCAGAGACTGAGACTAAACCTTCCTCCCCATCACTGTCCACTCCAGAAGCAGCACCTGTCCCAGTGACCACACCCCCACCCCCCTCAGCCAGTCCAGCAGCACCCACAGTAGCTGCACTCTCTTCTGCCCCAGCCCCAACCAGCCCAGCAGTAACCCCTAAGGTTGAGCCCCTCAAAGTTGAGCCCCCCAAAGTGACCCCCAGTAAGGGACCCACCCTAAGAAAGAGGACGCTTCCAGCAGTACCCCCGCCGATGCCCAACGGGCTGAAAGCTCAGAAGGCCAAGCCTGTGGTGGAGTATAAGCCTTACAAAGCAAGGCCCAAGTACTCTTTTGATGACTTTGAACTGGATGATGAGCCGAAACCCACAGTACAGAAGGCAGTACTACCCACAGCCCAGAGGGCAGCAGTGAGACCTACACCTACCAGCATTCAGAGGGCAGCAGTTAGATCTACACCTACCAGCACTCAGAGGGCAGCAGTGACATCTACCCTTACCACCATTCAGAGGGCAGCAGTGACACCTACACTTACCACCATTCAGAGGGCAGCAGTGACACCTACACTTACCACCATTCAGAGGGCAGCAGTGAGACCTACACCAGCGGCAGAAAATGGCAAACATGAAGTAACTTTCTTGAACATTGATCTAAAATTATAAAATGCAAGGATGAGTTTTTATGTCAAAAATGGTATTGAAATTAATTATAGAAAATGAATTCTAACCCTCTTTATTTCTCCTTCCACAGGACTCAAAACCTACCGTGCAGAAGCCAGGAGTACCTACGGGTCAGAAAACAGTAAGACCTACCGCGCAGAAAACAGTAGGACCTACCACGCAGAAAACAGTAGGACCTACCGCGCAGAAAACAGTAGGACCTACCGCGCAGAAAACAGTAGGACCTACCGCGCAGAAAACAGTAGGACCTACCACGCAGAAAACAGTAGGACCTACCACGCAGAAAACAGTAGGACCTACCGCGCAGAAAACAGTAGGACCTACCACGCAGAAAACAGTAGGACCTACCACGCAGAAAACAGTAGGATCTACCGCGCAGAAAACAGTAGGACCTACCGTGCAGAAAACAGTAGGACCTACCTCGCAGAAGACAGTACCAACTGTACTGAAGGCTGTAGAGACACCAACCCCTATGTCCAAAAATGGCAAACATGAGGTAAGTTTCTTAGTTGTAATAATAATAATAAGTTATTACGTTTCTATAGCGCTTTTCATAGAATCTCAAAGCTCTTCAAGAGCAAAAAACAAACAAGCAATTTATCAGGACAGGTCAATATACTGTATCAGGACAGGTCAATATACTGTATCAGGACAGGTCAATATACTGTATCAGGACAGGTCAACCAATAGAGACCAAGTCTTTGAAAGCTGCATCCTCCGAAGATTGAGAGGAGGGACACTTTAATGGCTTGAGCGGAGAGAGCTGTTCAGAGGATGGTAGATGATGGTGATGGAGTCTGCTGATGATCTTGTAGAGGGCAAGTCTGGGAACCAGCCTGACCCTTATAGCCACTGGACTTCTCCGCTTCCACTTTGTGGAGCACCCACTTGGGTGTTGCCTCAGCAGCTCTGGGCGCCAGAAAGCTCACCACACAAATTTCCGAACAGTAGCCAGTCGTCCTCAGTACTGCTGTATTCCTCTAGCTCCCATTCCTCTCACACTTCAGGCGACACCTCAAATTATGTTCTAAGAAGATCAGTAATTGGCAGCCACTCACTCTCTCTCACTCAACCCCGTTGGTCTTTATTCTGAAAGTCAATAAAGTTGATGTAGAGTTTACGTTGCCACGCACTACATTGCTCAATGATGTTTCTGAGGGCAAAGCTCTCTTACCCTTCATCCAGATGTCAGTGACATTTTTTTGCAGCCAATACTGGATTGATTTTGAACAGCTCGGCATTGAGGTTGTAAGGACCTGGAGCTTTCCCATTCTTTAGTGACTTGATAATAGGGATTATTTCTTCTTTGGTTGGTGTGTTAATTGTATCCATGGGGTTCTCTGTTGAGATCTTCTCTGAAATGTTCTGTCCATCTTGCTTCCTGTTCATTTTCTGTATTCAGGAGATTGCCTTGCTTGTATTTGACTTACATTTTCTGCCACAGATTAGGTTAGTGATTTTGTATACTGTTCCTTGCTGTTTGCTTGCTGCTGCTTTTTCAGCTGCGCTTGCCAGCTCCTCCAGGTAGGCCCTTTTGTCTCACTAGCCTTTTGACTTGTGTGTAGAGTTTACTGTACTACTCCTCCAATTTCTGTTTTAGTCTTAAGAATAGAATACCATGTCAGCTTGTGTATATTCTTGTGGGGAAACAGGCTGCCACCAATCACCAGGTTATTTGTGACGCAGAATGTCGCCAGTCTCCCACCGTTGTCATTCATCTCTCCACAGCCGTGCTTCCCCATTGTTCTCTCGTAGTTGGTGTTGTCGGTGCCAACCTTTGCGTTCAGGTCTCCGATGATGAGGAGCAGGTCTTGAGCAGGTGTCTTCGCTAGGTGTTCTAGAACAGGCCTTTTTCTTCATCTTAGGCGTAACATTGGATTATTGTTAGTTTGGTATGTTGTCCATTAAGTCTGGCTGTTATCATTCTGCTACTGATTGGTTCCCATTCCATCAGAGTTTTCTCTACCCCTTTCTGTAGGATGATGGCGACACCTTCACGGTGTTGTCCGCCCTCCCATCCAGAGTGTAGTACTGTTTCTCCAGTGCTGGTTCTCGTGGAACCAGAGCTAGTCCACCTGGCTTCACTCACTCCCAGGATCTGTAGCTTGTATCTCCTCACTTCATTGGTAACCTGTGCCAGCTTTCCGGACTCAAACATTGTTTGAACATTCCATAAGCCAACGTGCAGTTTGTTTTTTGGTGTTCAGTGCTCCCATCTTCACATCACCAGTTTCCCGTAGGCTTTCACTGATGGCGGTCATACAAGTCTGGGACTCTGGGAGATCTTCGCATCCAGTTGTAGGATTGTCATTTGTTGCTGTTTCTGTAACTCAAAGGTTTTACGGGATGGGGTTTGCTAGCCCCATAACCAACCGTCCACCATTTCTGGTTTCGGGAGATTTTGGAATTGGCAGCCAGGTGAAACCAAAAAAGCTGGTACTGTGTCCAGATGCATTTTAGCTAGCTAGCCAAGCCAAGAAGTGTTAATCTGCAAATCAGTGGCTCAAAGACACCAGATATATGCAATAAAAACGAATGTTATCAAAAACAAAAGAGCTGATTTAAAAAATCAACAATTAAAAACGCCTAAGAAATAACTAAATATGTACACATTTACAGGAGCTCTGTGCTTAGGCTGCTATTAGGGCGCCATGGCAAAATTGGCTACAGTGGTAACTAGTAACGCCCAACAGATAGGCCTATGTGCGCAAGATAATTTATCAAGAATATGCGTCATATTCGACCTGCAATTTGTAAACAAAGCTGCTGTACTATTGGTCAAAACGTCATTTTGATCACTTTGAAGTGACACAAATGACAAATTAAGCTTTTATCTATCCATTTCGAGATATATTAAACCAACAAAAAATTGCTTTTTTATTTTGGAATTCGAACTCCCAAATGAGCCCCAATCTGCCCCCGCTTCTTAGAAAAACATGCATGGGCAGCTACAGGGTGTGTGTGTGTGTGCACATGGGTGTGCATGTTTTCAAAGAGTGATTCCTGAATTCTGACGCCTCTAAATGTTTACATTGGTGATATGGAAACCTGACATGGTAATTGCTCTCACCTTCCCTTCTGGCTATGTTACCTCTCCAGTGTGCAGTGATAGCCTTCATGGTGTCGTTTTTACTGTGGTACAACACCGTGGGTTCTCTCACGTCCACACAAACGCACGTGCAGGCAGCGACATACACAGTCAGTACATAATCCTTGGCTGAGTGTTGTTTTTACAATGCTGTTGTGTGGTGGTGAAACATGTACGCACTCACTAACTGTAAGTCGCTCTGGATAAGAGCGTCTGCTAAATGACTAAAATGGCAACTATATAGAACTATTCTACTTGAAATAACTTTCTTGGTTGTTACGCGACTTGTTTTTTATGCTATCAGACATTGAAAGCGACCATGCATTTTTAAACCCACGACCCGCTAGAGTGTAGCACTAGCAACGCCCTTACCCACATCCTTATCATTTATCTAAAATAGTGTGTCTTGTGTGGTACTGTAACTGTCCTCATCTCCCCTCCTTCCCCAGGACTCCAAACTTACCGTACAGAAGGCAGACATGCCTAGACCCAGTGTACAGAAGGCAGCTGTGGTACCTACACCTTGCCCCAAAACAGAAGCACCACCTACGCCCAAAACTGGCAAAGATGAGGTAACATCCTTGGACCTGTTCTTTCTTTATTAGCATGTAAGAATGGTAGGTTTGTTTTAGAAATTATATTAAAAACCCATTCAATAACTGTACAGGGCACTTCAGTGACACGTTAGAAGCAGTGTGGATTATCATACAGCCATTTTCATGGCAAAAGTTATTTTGGCGATGCAATTTATCCCTCTTAACCTCTTGTCTTTCCATAGGATTCCATAGCACCAGTGTCCTCCCCTCCCTCAGAAGAGCCCCCAAGAGATTCTGTTGACAAGGAGCAGTGTGAAGAAAAGCCTGCTGGTACTCTCATGTCTGATAACATCCAACTAACCAACCAAATGACAGTTTGAACAGTGTTATAACACATTGTCATATCCTCATTGTGGAACATGCTTCTTATAGAATCTGTCTCTTACTTATCAGTTACTGCGATTAAACCCACATCCCCAGAGGTCAGGTCAGAGGACAACACAACAACAGAGAAAGCCTCTGACTCGTAAGAATTTACACTCAAATTGCAATGACCAAATCATTTTCTGCACAAAAAACTATTTTCCAGAGCAATTCAAACTATGTCTGTGTTTCCATGGCAGTGGGGTCGTGCAATCAGCAGGTAATAGCAGTCCCCTCTCTGACACACGTCTGCAGAAAGAAATCAAGAAACTAAAGGAGGCCGACCAAGATGGAAATCAAGCCATCATTGTGAGTGTTTCAGTCCTTTGCCGAATACTGCCCACTGTATTACTGTACTTTGAGTTGTTCTCTTTTGTAATAGAGTGGTGTTATTCAAAGACTATGTATGGTCCTAGCCTGGTCCCAGATCTGTTTGTGCTCTTGCCAACTGACTTGCTGTCATTGTCAAGCCAAAGATTTTGCATGACAATGAGTGACGAGTTGGCATGATGGCACAAACTGACTGGCACTTAGGCTAGGATGTTCCTATATTTAGACAGAATCTATTTACCGGTAATATGTCAGAACTGACCCGGAGTCTGTGTGTGTCACCTCCTAGGATGCAGGGCAGAAGCACTTTGGCGCAGTGACCTGCAGTGTGTGTGGGATGCTGTACTCTGCTGCCAACCCGGAGGATGAATCCCAGCATTTGCTCTTCCACAACCAGTTCATCAGTGCTGTCAGATATGTGGTGAGAAGGAGCAGTCACCCACAGCATGAATGCTTCCCATAGGACTCTGGTTAAAAGTAATGCACTTCTGTATATAGGGAATAGGGGGCCATTTGGGACGCAGGCTATGTGTGCCAACTCTACCCAACTCGTCCCCTCTGACTCAAACATCTCTCACACACATACATCTCTCAACCTATAAACCACTGATTTGTCGTGCCGTCCACAGGGGTGGAAGAAGGAGAGGATTTTGGGGGAGTACCCCGATGGCAAGATCATCCTTGTCCTTCCAGATGACCCCAAATATGCACTGAAGAAGGTATGTGGGCTTCAGGTTCCAAATTTACACATTATCACATATGGAAAAACTTTACTGTAATATGATGAAAAACATAAGAGCATTATTTATCTAAAATACTGTATACTTTAAATCCCCTGATACACATCACTACATATCACGAGAGTTTGTGACCCCCTGATATACAGTGGGGTCCATAATTATTGCCAACCTTGATAAAGATAAGCAAAAAAGACTATAAATAAATAATACAAATACTGAGCTGTATTGTATGCTAAAAGAAATTGGACAATTGATATTATTTTATACTAATACAATTGCACAGAGAAAGAGATTTTGTTTAACAGGTAATAAAAAACCACTTTACAAAATACATTATTCCCATACCATTATTACAGAGAATCAGGCAAATTATGCTACCCTCTGCCTATTGGCTACTTAGCTTATCCAAGCCTTTCTCAAAATACAACACTGCCCCTTTAAAAAAATAAAAATGATTTACCTGACTCGCTTTTCAAAAATGTCTAGAAATGCATATGTTTTGTGCTCTTGTAGGAAGCAATCACTCCCCCATTGATGACTACAAATGATTTCTAACTGGACTAATAACTCAGTAACTAGCAAAGGATATGAACAAATGTTGAAATGTGCACACATCGCAACATGTAGGTCTCGCTTTGATCTCAAAACGAGTGCATCTACTCACGACCGCTCATGCTGTAAAAACAGTCCAGTTCAAAGTGAATGGCACAGATTCATATACACTACCAGTCAAAAGTTTGGACACACCTACTCATTCAAGGGTTTTTCTTTCTTTTTACAAATGTTTTCATTGTAGAATAATAGTGAAGACATCAGAACTATGAAATAACACATTTGGAATCATGTAGTGAACAAAAAAGTGTTAAACAAATCAAAGTATATTTTATATTTGAGAATCTTCAAATAGCCACCCTTTGCTTTGATGACAGCTTTGCACACTCTTGGCATTCTCGCAACCAACTTCACCTGGAATGCTTTTCCAACAGTCTTGAATGAGTTCCCACATATGCTGAGCACTTGTTGGCTGCTTTTCCTTCACTCTGCGGTCCGACTCATCCCAAACCATCTCAATTGGGTTGAGGTCGGGGGATTGTGGAGGCCAGGTCATCTGATGCAGCACTCCATCACTCTCCTTCTTGGTAAAATAGCCCTTACACAGCCTGGAGGTGTGTTGGGTCATGAAATGAAATGAAATGAAAAACAAATGATAGTCTCACTAAGCCCAAACCACATGGGATGGCATATCGCTGTAGAATGCTGTGGTAGCCATGCTGGTTAAGTGTGCCTTGAATTCTAAATAAATCACAGACAGTGTCACCAGCTAAGCACCCCCACACCATAACACCTCCTCCTCCATGCTTTACGGTAGGAAATATACATGCGGAGATCATCAATTCACCCACACCGCGTCTCACAAAAACACAGCGGTTGGAACCAAAAATCTCCAATTTGGACTCCAGACCAAAGGACATATTTCCACCGGTCTAATGTCCATTGCTCGTGTTTCTTGGCCCAAGCAGATCTCTTCTTCTTATTGGTGTCCTTTAGTAGTGGTTTCTTTGTAGCAATTCAACATGAAGGCCTGATTCACACAGTCCCCTCTGAACAGGTGATGTTGAGATGTGTCTGTTACTTGAACTCTGTGAAGCATTTATTTGGGCTGCAATTTCTGAGGCTGTTGACTCTAATGAACTTATTCTCTGCAGCAGAGGTAACTCTGGGTCTTCCATTCCTGTGGTGGTCCTCATGAGAGCCAGTTTCATCATAGCGCTTGATTGTTTTTGCGACTGCACTTTAAGAAACTTTCAAAGTTCTTGAAATGTTCCATATTGACTGACCTTCATGTCTTAAAGTAATGATGGACTGTCGTTTCTCTTTGCTTATTTGAGCTGTTCTTGCCATAATATGGACTTGGTATTTTACCAAATAGGGCTATCTTCTTTATACCCCCCCTACCTTGTCACAACACAACTGACTGGCTCAAACGCATTAAGAAGGAAAGGAATTCCACAAATGAACTTTTAAGAAGGCACACCTGTTAATTTTTTTATTTATTTTATTTTGTCATTTAGCAGACGCTCTTATCCAGAGCGACTTAGTTAGTGAGTGCATACATTTTCATACTGCCCCCCCGTGGGAAACGAACCCACAACCCTGGCGTTGCAAGCGCCATGCTCTACCAACTGAGCTACAATTGAAATGCATTCCAGGTGACTACCTCATGAAGCTGGTTGAGAGAATGCCAAGAGTGTGCAAAGCTGTCATCAAGGCAAAGGGTAGCAATTTGAAAAATCTCAAATATAAAATATATTTGGATTAGTTTAACACTTTTTTGGTTACTACATGATTCCATATGTGTTATTTCAGAGTTTTGATGTCTTCACTATTATTCTACAATGTAAAAAATTAAGAAAAACCCTTGAATGAGTAGGTGTGTCCAAACCTTTGACTGGTACTGTATATACAAAAGCTGAAGAACACACGCACATCCAGGTACTTTCCTCAGATAACCAAAACACTGCACACTGCTGCTCAGGTGATATTTATGTATAACGTTTCGACCCTTAGGTCTTCATCAGGCTTATGGTCTATTTGCATATAGGCCTAATGCAGCTGTGATTGGTTATCGTGCACCGGTCTGTGTAGAGTACGGGCATGAATCGTGCCTGTCAATGCAATAGAATCCTACTCCAATGCACTCTGCCTACAAGAAAATCTCTTACGTAGTTGGTTTTGTTTCGGGATGTTGCATTGAAAGTGGCTAATATTGCGTTGATTCGATCACAATTCCCACAGTAAAGGGAAACGTTGATCGTGTTAACTAACAGGGAAAACTCTAGAAAGTTGAGTGAAGTTCAATCTCGTGCTTCTCTGCATGGGCTGATATTTCTTCTGCAAGGCAGTCCAAGGGGAGCTGCACGCAGCTTAGAGGGAACATTGATTGGCACCCCTGTTTTTAATACTCTGTCACCCTCCCCTTGCGAGGAGAACGACAAAGCCTTTTTCTAAAAATGTTTTATGAGATTGGGAACAAGTTGTGAGGGATCTTATACCATTCCTCCATACAGAATCTTTCCAGATCTTTGATATCCTTTGTCTGCGCTTATGGACTGCCCTCTTCAATTCAAACCACATGTTTTCAATGGGGTTCAAGTCTGGAGACTGAGATGGCCATTGCAAAATGTTGATTTTGTTTCTTTGTGGATTTTGATCAGTGCTTGGGGTTATTGTCTTACTGGGAGATCCACTTGCGGCCAAGTGTCCGCCTCCTGGCAGAGGCATCCAGGTTTTTGACTAAAATGATGCTGTTGACTATAACAAGGGACCCAGGACCAGTGGTAGCAAAATAACCCCATATTTTACTGTAGATATTAGGAACTTTTCTGCATATGCTTCTGTTTTTCAACGGCAAACCCACCACTGGAGTGCATGGCCAAAGAGCTCTATTTTCATGTCCTCTGACCATAGCACCGGTTCCAATCCAAGTGCCAATGCCGTTTATCAAACTCCAGGCGGTGCTATGGTCTGAATCCCAACATTACACTGTTGATTTTATGTGCATTTTACATTTACTGTACTTTTCACAGCATTTGTCAATAAAGAAATCAGAAAATACTCTTGATGCATTCAGTAACATAATAAGAATATTCATTGAAATGTTGGAGTAGGTGCAAGATAAGAGGAGTATTTTTCTCTGCTAATACAGGAGTAATGAAGGCCTAGTTCACAAATATTTTTATTTGATTTATCAGGGTGTGCTGCAGCACCCTCCGCCCCCCTACTTGCCACGACTATGAACGCATGTCATCCTTGTAACTGTGGATCCAACATGGCGATTATAAACGTTGATACTGTAAATTGAGTTTTCAAATATGGAAATGTGAAGTGCACATTTGAACTCATGGGTGTGTGGTTTGCTTGTATGACATCAAAGCGGTATCTATTATAATCCTCAACGTCTCATCTTTCAGAACAGACTAATCTCGATTTACAGGATTTCCCTCACTTAGACAACAAATATCAAATCAAATTTTATTTGCCACATGCGCCGAATACAACAGGTGTAGATATTACAGTGAAATGGTTACTTACAGCCCTTAACCAACAATGCATTTATTTTTTTTATAAAAAAGTTAAATAAAACGACAACAAAAAAGTGTTGAGAAAAAAAGAGCAGAAGTAAAATAAAATAACAGTAGGAAGGCTATATACAGGGGGGTACCGGTGCAGAGTCAATGTGTGGGGGCACCGGCTAGTTGAGGTAATATGTACATGTGGGTAGAGTTAAAGTGACTATGCATAAATAATTAACAGAGTAGCAGCAGCGTAAAAAGATGGGGTGGGGGTGGGGGGGCAGTGCAAATAGTCCGGGTAGCCATGATTAGCTGTTCAGGAGTCTTATGGCTTAGGGGTAGAAGCTGTTGAGAAGTATTTTGGACCTAGACTTGGCACTCCGGTACTGCTTGCCGTGCGGTAGCAGAGAGAACAGTCTATGACTAGGGTGGCTGGAGTCTTTGACAATTTTGAGGGCCTTCCTCTGACATCGCCTGGTGTAGAGGTCCTGGATGGCAGGAAGCTTGGCCCCAGTGATGTACTGGGCCGTACGCACTACCCTCTGTAGTGCCTTGCGGTCGGAGGCCGAGCAGTTGCCATACCAGGCGGTGATGCAACCAGTCAGGATGCTCTCGATGGTGTAGCTGTAGACTTTTTTGAGGATCTGAGGATTCCCTTTTTTGAGGATTCCCTCCTGAGGGGGAATAGGTTTAGCGGAAGGAATGGGAGCATCTTCTTGTCACGCACAGTGCTCAAGTTTATAACGGCTGTCAGTCAAAACCCATACAGCGTTATGAAGCGGAAAACCTGAGCTCTGACGGCATGTATAGCCACTGCGTTCCAATTTAGGTGCTTATCAATGACCAAATCTGCAATTTTCAACCCGTATATGCCCGTGAGTATAAAGGGTTAAACAAAATGTATTTCTCTGAGCAATTGTATTAGTGTAATATAATTGTCCCAATTTTTTGAGCATACAATATACCTCAGTGTTTGTATTACTTATTTTATACAGTCTTTTTTGCTTATATTTATCAAGGGTGCCAATAACCTCTGTACAGCACTACAGTTTATTTGTCCTGTAGTCCAGGGTCATATTCACTAGGCATCAAACAGAAAGAAAAGTGACCATAACAGGGAGGGATAAGAAACACTGGTTTTCGTTGCAAAACGTTATCTGTTGCAAAAAGTTTTGCTGCGGTGTGCACTAATGAATACGACCCTGCAAAGAAGTCTCACGGAGCCTGTCTCTTGGTGGTTTGTCAGGTTGAGGAGATTAGAGAGATGGTGGACAATGACCTGGGCTTCCAGCAGGTTGAGACCAAGTGTCCCTCCCAGACCAAAACCTTCCTGTTTATCTCCAATGACAAGAAGGTAGCTGGGTGCCTTATCGCTGAGCACATTCAGGAGGTGAGAAAGACATCTGTGGGGGTTGGGGCTGGGAATGTGTGTGTTTGTGTTGGGAGGGGGGTTGAGATGCGAAGTCAAGAGACTTTATTGTAATGAGGTATTCGCTGTTGTTGCATGTATGTGATTGTATTTGCGTGTGCAGGGCTACAGGGTCATCGAGGAGGCGGTGCCCGAGGGCTCGGAGGGAGAGAAGGTGATGTTTGAGCGTCAGAGAGCCTGGTGCTGTTCCACCAACCCAGAGCCAGCCCTCTGTGGCATCAGCCGCATCTGGGTCTTCAGCATGACGAGACGGAGGGGCATCGCTTCGCGCATGATCGAGTGTCTCAGGTCAGTCCGTCAGTCTTACTTGGGCATGAATCAAAGCTGTAACACTTTTATTTGGGGGTGGGGGTGTAGAAAAATCTACATAATTTGCTCCGAGGGGGGGTAAAGGCGTCCTCATGCTTCCCAGCCGAAACAGTTCGGAAGAGTTTGTGCATATATTATGACAACATTTTGTGACGTTTTTGTTTGTACCTCATGAAGCTGGTTGAGAGAATGTCAAGAGTGTGCAAATCTGTCATCAAGGCAAAGGGCAGCTACTTTTTTCGTTACACCATGATTCCATATTTGTATTCTGTACATGCTTCTTTTCACTGTGGCATTTAGGTTAGTATTGTGGAGTAACTACAGCAATGTTGTTGATCTATCCTCAGTTTTTTCCTATCACAGCCATTAAACTCTGTAACTGTTTTAAAGTCACCATTGGCCTCATGGTGAAATCCCTGAGCGGTTTCCTTCCTCTCCGGCAACTGAGTTAGGAAGGAGGCTTGTATCTTTGTAGTGACTGGGTGTATTGATACACTATCCAGTGTAAGTAATAACTTCACCATGCTCAAAGCGATATTAAGTCTGCTTTTATTTTTACCCATCTACCAATAGGTGCCCTTCTTTGCGAGGCATTGGAAAACCTCCCTGGTCTTTGTTAGTTAAATAAATAAATAAATTGGTCATTTAGCAGACGCTCTTATCCAGAGCGACTTACAGGAGCAATTAGGGTTAAGTGCCTTGCTCAAGGGCACATCGACAGATTTTTCACCTAGTCGGCTCGGGGATTAGAACCAGCGACCTTTCTGTTACTGGCACAACGCTCTTAACCATTAAGCTACCTGCCGTTAGTTAGTCTGTGTTTAAAATTCACTGCTCGACTGAGGGACTTTACAGATAATTGTATGTGTGGGGTACAGAGATGAGGTAGTCATAAAAAAATCATGTTACACAGTATGAAAAAAATACAAAATAAATGTGTGCACTCACTAACTCTCTGGATAAGAGTGTCTGCTAAATGACTAAAATGTAAAAAATGTATTATTGCACACAGAGTGAGTCCATGCAACTTATTATGTGACTTGTTAAGCAAATGTTTTCTCCCAAACTTATTTAGGCTTGCCATAACAAGGGGGTTGAATATTCATTGACTCAAGACATTACAGCTTGACATTTTTTAGTAATTTGTAGAAATGTCTAAAAACATATTTACATTTACATTTTAGTAATTTAGCAGACGCTCTAATTCCACTTTGACATTATGGAGTATTGTGTGTAGGCCAGTGACACAATCTAAAATGAATCAATTTAAAATGTAGGCTGTAACACAACAAAATGGTGAAAAATTCAAGGGGAAAAAACGTTTTTGATCCCCTGCTGATTTTGTACGTTTGCCCACTGACAAAGAAATGATCAGTCTATAATGTTAATGGTAGGTTTATTTGAACAGTGAGAGACAGAATAACAACCAAAAAATCCAGAAAACCGCATGTCAAAAATGTTATAAATTGATTTGCATTTTAATGAGGGAAATAAGTATTTGACCCCCTCTGAATCAGAAAGATTTCTGCCTCCCAGGTGTCTTTTATACAGGTAACAAGGCACACTCTTAAAGGGAGTGCTCCTAATCTCAGTTTGATACCTGTATAAAAGACACCTGTCCACAGAAGCAATCAATCAATCAGATTCCAAACTCTCCACCATGGCCAAGACCAAAGAGCTCTCCAAGGATGTCAGGGACAAGATTGTAGACCTACACAAGGCTGGAATGGGCTACAAAACCATCGCCAAGCAGCTTGGTGAGAAGGTGACAATAGTTGGTGCGATTATTCGCAAATGGAAGAAACACAAAATAATTGTTAATCTCCCTAGGCCTGGGGCTCCATGCAAGATCTCACCTTGTGGAGTTGCAATGATCATGAGAACGGTGAGGAATCAGCCCAGAACTACACGGGAGGATCTTGTCAATGATCTCAAGGCAGCTGGGACCATAGTCACCAAGAAAACAATTGGTAACACACTACGCCGTGAAGGACTGAAATCCTGCAGCGCCCGCAAGGTCCCCCTGCTCAAGAAAGCACATATACAGGGCCGTCTGAAGTTTGCCAATGAACATCTGAATGATTCAGAGGAGAACTGGGTGAAAGTGTTGTGGTCAGATGAGACCAAAATCGAGCTTTTTGGCATCAACTCAACTCGCTGTGTTTAGAAGAGGAGGAATGCTGCCTATGACCCCAAGAACACCATCCCCACCATCAAACATGGAGGTGGAAACGTTATGCTTTGGGGATGTTTTTCTGCTAAGGGGACAAGACAACTTCACCGCATCAAAGGGACGATGGACGGGGCAATGTACCATCAAATCTTGGGTGAGAACCTCCTTCCCTCAGCCAGGGCATTGGAAATGGGTCGTGGATGGGTATTCCAGCATGACAATGACCCAAAACACACGGCCAAGGCAACAAAGGAGTGGCTCAAGAAGAAGCACATTAAGGTCCTGGAGTGGCCTAGCCAGTCTCCAGACCTTAATCCCATAGAAAGTCTGTGGAGGGAGCTGAAGGTTCGAGTTGCCAAACGTCAGCCTCGAAACCTTAATGACTTGGAGAAGATCTGCAAAGAGGAGTGGAACAAAATCCCTCCTGAGATGTGTGCAAACCTGGTGGCCAACTACAAGAAACGTCTGACCTCTGTGACTGTCAACAAGGGTTTTGCCACCAAGTACTAAGTCATGTTTTGCAGAGGGGTCAAATACTTATTTCCCTCATTAAAATGCAAATCAATTTATAACATTTTTGACATGCGTTTTTCTGGATTTATTTGTTGTTATTCTGTCTCTCACTGTTCAAATAAACCTACCATTAAAATGATAGACTGATCATGTCTTTGTCAGTGGGCAAACGTACAAAATCAGCAGGGGATCAAATACTTTTTTCCCCTCACTGTATATAATTAAAATATGTAGTGTTGGAACTTCAACATCCACTTCTTCTCGTATTGCCCTCCCACAGGAACAACTTCATCTATGGCTCCTACTTGAGCAAGGAGGAGATCGCTTTCTCCGACCCCACGCCCGACGGGAAGCTCTTTGCTACACACTACTGTGGCACCTCGCAGTTCCTGGTTTATAACTTTGTCAGTGGAACATGTTCAGACCAACCAAGCCCAAATTTGGTGTAACCATTTGCATCAAGGTGGATTTTTGCTGAGGCCCAGTGTGACTCCTCACCAACCAACCAATCTTGTCGTGGACATCCTATCACAAGCACATTGTGGCTCTTTTAGACTCATCAAAAACTACTGTACTGACTCTTCTGAGGGGAAATGTTGGTTTTTAATCTCAGGTTGAAAACAACAAGGTGTTGTTTAAACGAAGATTTAAATTCTCCCTTTTAATCCCTGCATAGTATTTTGAGACAAATAATATTTTTATTTATGTTTTTTAATTAAGGAACACACTTTTATTGGAAGTATTAAAGAGTTTACATGCATTAAGCTTGACAGCAATAGAAAACAAAGAGCATTTCACAATTCATCGTTTTTGAAAAGATGCACTAAGTTTTACTCAAACGGTTCTAAAACAATGTTGTCCTGTTCTAATAATGCATTTCATTCATATAGAGCCTCTTAAAACAGTTAGAAGTTGCTGTATTTAGATGATGATTTGTCATTCATCAAGTGTATACAAGGGGTTGTTCTTACACACATCCTTGTTCATCATCTCTTTACTTTTAATGCAGTGATGCGTTGACCACCATTTTGTGAGGTTCCATTTTGTGATACGGACTACATTACTGTTAGAGGTCACTCTCACAGAATTTCTCAGAATGTGTTTGTTTGATTCTGTTGAGTGAAGTTGTTACTCACCATTTTCTTCACGACATGATCATTCTCAGTCTTGCTGCCATGTGTCTGTCCTAATCATGTCCATTATTAAAATGGAGAGTCCTATTTGGGATAGTTATCCTCCTTAGGCAGTATGTAGCATGGACTAGCAGGAAGAATAACTGAGGTAATAATGTTGGTTGGATTTCTAGATGGGGCATTTTTCTGTAGTGCTTCTATTCAAGGCTCTTTACCCAAGTTGCCGCAGAAATATATCTGACTGTAGAAATGTTAAATGTGAGCTGTGATAAGTGCATTGCAAGGCAGTTAGCATTCGCTTGTTTCTGCCTGTATGTTTGTGCCTACTGTGAATCATGAACCTCAACCTGACTGTTAGATTTCACTGATTGACTGATCATACTGTAGACTCCCTCAAACGTTCTAAACTGCCCTTAACTGAGCATTTCCCCCTTCCCTTGAATTCACCATTTTAATGATTGACAATTTCTTCTATTGGCAGAAAGTTTTATCAATGAGGTCATGAATGGTCCTAAATGTGAATAATACATTAAGAGTTAAAAGTAAGTCCTGTAATATGAATAATATCAATAATGCCATTGAAAGGGTTTAGAACCTCATGGTTATTAGATTTTTGAGGGAGTTGAAAACACCATCCACCATGTCAAAGGTGATTATCACAGCAAACCAAGGGACTGTTGCTCAGCCATCAAAGTGTTGTGATTCATACATTTTCTGGTATCAATGTAATTTATTCATTATCACATTGCCCTTCATGTTGAAACATTTTCTTTTAGAAATATTGTGGGTCGTGTAAGAAAACACATTTGATTTATAAAGAGCTGTCATGTAAATAGTTATTTAAAAAATAAAAAAACTATCCTGCCCTGCTATGGTTGAATTTATTTAAGTTGACATGTCTCACAATTCAGTGTTTTGAGCATGAATGTAGCATTCATAATGTTATAACATTCACAAGTTAAGCTTCATGGTTACGTATCACGTCTACTCTGTACCAACTTTGAATAGGTTGGGTGATGAAGGCTTATTCTACCACCTAGTGGACATAGTACATATCAACATATTTTATTTGTACCCGTGGTGTCCAGTACAGACAAAGCCCAATGTTACCATGAAGCTTGATGAGTTGTTTGGGATGTTTCTGTGCATCTCTTATCATTCATGGTGCCTCTTTCTTGACAGACTGTTTTCTATCAGTCTTGCTATTGAATGTTCTAATTAGAGTCACAGTCATTGCCGCCACAGCATGAGTGGGTGGGTGTTGTATTACTGGCAATCCCATGTGTTAGAATAGTCAGTCACATATTTCCCTGTGAGTTTCATATCAGCTCTCTGAGACTGGCTGATGCTAGTACAGAAAATAATCGACGCTATGACACTAGTCATAGCAACTCAATGGATCTGTCCCGGCCCACCGTCTCAACTGAAAGGGATTTTGTCTAACTTCAATCTTTTTGTCTATCTTAAATCTGGCCACCATGCTCTCATTCTGTGTCTTTGTAGATGGATTGACGTAAACACTCTCTCCTGTTAGTGCATTCCTCGGCTCTCCTGTCACAACACCGGGCCTGCTCCATGGTTACTTCAGAGAAACAAAATAACCTTAGAATAACATGGATACTTCCTCAGACGGAGGGCGTGAGAAAACACCGAGCTACGTTGATACCGATCAGGAAAAATGCTGGAAACGACTGGACATTTATGAAGAAAAAAAAAGAACAGACTCAGTAAATCTGAAAAGATGAAAACCAGGAGGTCAGTCTACATTACAGTGTAATTAATGACCAAACACTATAGAGGAAATGATTTCCTCAAATGCAGGGACTGCTGATGAGCCATTAAACATGAACACCCACAAAATCAGTATATTCACCAAAAACGTGCATATCTAAAGTAGATGAGCCATTAACAGGTGGATCTACTGCACTTGTCAGCCTGTGGCTATAATGAACAAAGAGAGTAGACAAAAACTGTTTTTGTTTTTATTGACAAATCACAAAAATTCAGTAAAGAAACACTCAACAGAACAATAAATCACAGCTGCCAGAAATGTAGAAAGATCAGAACATCTATATACAACTACTGTAATAAACGTTGATCTTATGCTCATGGTTATTATGTTTGTAAATGTAAATCTGGAGCTTTCTGAGTTCACTCTTATTTAATGATGCAAGAGAGATGCGTTTACACAAATAAATTAACTGTACAGCTAATACACAATTCAACATTAAGTACCAGGGGGTTACATACAGACAATACATTTCTAGAGCCTGTGACCAACTAACAATGTGTGCCATAAGATCAGTCCAGTGGCTCCTTTGAGACGATTGTGTAGATCCGTAGGGAAACAAATCAAATGTAATCCTTTTTTAGATTGAATTTTAAGGCAACAAGATTTGAAAAAAAGTTCAAGGGGTGTAGACTTTCTATAGGCACTGTATATGACATCTCCTGGTACCTTGCATGCCCTCAGTAGGATTTGAAGGTGCCTGTGGAAGTCCATATTTAAGTGTCACAGTCACAGGATGGGGCAATGCTGGCCACAGGAGAAGTAGAGCATCTCTAGTGCATCTGGCTCCTGTGGAATTTTCTTGACATCTGTCTGACTTTTGCCAGGCTGACGTTTGCCAGGCTGGACCACCACAACCTTTCCACCTCCCGGGCCTTCTATCAGAGGGTGCACTTTATTATCTGGCATCTTGAAGTCAGTAGGGGCAAAAGCTGGCAGTGTTCCATTCTTCTCAGCCCACTGTTTGGGTTCCTCTGCCTTGTCTTTACTGTCCTTTGAGACGTCACCCTTAGCACTGACAGGGCTTAGGTCATCCTGGTGCGGGTCTGAGTCACATCCGTGAGGCAGGTTGAAATAGGTGCACTTTGGCACCAAAGGCTTCACAGATTTCACTATGTCCTCCAAATCAGTGTGGCCGAAAAGGGAGTAAGGGTCTTCTTTTGTATCTTTGCACACATCTTCAGTTGATGCAGATGTGTTCTTGTTTATGTCAATAGGCTCTGAGACAGACTTTCTGATCACGCTCTCTCTGAGGAGCCACCTGTCTTTGTCTATCAGGAAAAAGTCTCCAGGCCCGACCTGTGCATTGAAGGCGATACACCGCGTTGGATCACTGTATGTGCCAAAAGAGCTTGTGGCATTGAAGTATGATAAGTCAGATATCACTTTGTTCTGTGCATTATGGAATGGGGAAAGGCTGATCTTACTAGGTAATTCTCTGGACTGTGGTTTCAGGAGAGATGGGTGCTGACTTTTACTGGCAGGGTCTTTGACATTTGTATCTTTCTTTCCATAAAGCCTTTCGATTGTTCTCCTGACAACACCTTTGGTGATGGATTTCTTCACTGAATCATACTCACCACTGGACGTCTCAGTTGACGTCTGTGATCGATGACCTCCACTGTCAGAAGTCTCTGGTCTGTTGTCAGACAGATCTGAGGTGTTTGGGCTGGGTAGTCTTGTTTGTCCATACTGAATGTCCACAACACTTTTTGCCATAAACAATTCCTTTATTGACTTGACCCTATTTACGTCAGGTTCTCTAGTTATACAGCCATCATAGCTAAATGCCAACGAGGAGGATCGTGGAGCTGGTGGGGACATGACTACAGTCTCTGACGTATTTATAGGCCACGTTGTCCTTTTAAAAGTGTGCACAGGAGCTTTGTCTTGCTCTTTGACATCATTAATAACATCATTGGTTGTGTGCATCTCAGATGCTTCCTCCATTAACTTGTCAAGCGCCGCTTGTTCATTAAGTAGATGGGATACGTTTGTTAAATCATCACCGTCTGAGACAGCAGGAACCTCTATTTGGCCAAACGGTTTGATGCCAGTTGTCTCTATAGTAATGATTTTCCTTTGCTCTACATCAGCAATCTTCTTATCCAGTAGTTTTACTCGCTCTGCTACAGATGGTAATGGTTCCTCAATACAGTTGGTTGTTTTTGCTTCAGTCTTTTCATAATGTGTATCCTCTTCAGAAGGCTCTTCCTCTAAGAAGGTTTCCTGATACTCCTCCTCTGGGTATGGCTCCTCTACACTAACAGAGCCAGACAGCTTCTCTTCATAGCTTACTTGCTTCTCCTCTGAGCTACACTGATTATCCTCAAAGTTGGCTTCTTCTGCAGTATCAGTTTGTTGTTCGAAGCAAACATGCTGCTCACTGTTCTTCCCACTATCCTTATCCATCCTGTCAGCATTAGAATGCTGTTTGAACAAGCTAGGCAGTATTTCTCTGACAGTATACTCTGTTTCTTTTTGAGTAGTCTGCTCCACCCATAAGTGAGTCTGCTCATCCTGCACGTTAATGTGTGCATTTGCATAGCTCAAGTCATCTGCTTGGCTTTCCTCTTCCTCCCCTAAGCCAGCCTTGTCTTCTTCAGGGGTGAACTCTATTTCTTCTCTACCAACCTGCATCTCCATACATTTAACCCCCTTCTCTTCATGACTTGGTTGGTTCTCAATGTGACGTTCTAGCTCTTCCTCTGAGCTAGCCTGCGCTTCTTCAAGACTAGACACGCTTTCCTCACTGCTAACCTTTACATCCATACATTTAATCTTAGGGTCTTCATGGTTTGGTTGGTTCTCAACATGATGTTCCAGCTCTTCATCTGAGATAGCCTGGTCTTCTTCAGGGGTTGACTTTCCGTCCTCACTGCTATCCTGCAGCGCCAAGCATTTGACCTCTGGCTCCTCATGGTTTGGCTGATCCTCTATGTGACACTCATGTTCTTCGTCTGAGGTAGCCTGCTCCTCGAGGGTGGACACTCTTTCCTCATAGCTAACCTGCAGCCCCACACAGCTTGGCTGATTCTCTATGTGACATTGCTGCTCTTCCTCCAAGCATCCCTCCTCCATACATGTATTTTCTGACTCCACATGGCTTAGTTGGTCCTCAACATGATATTTCTGTTCTTCCTCCGAGCTAGCCTGGTCTTCTTCTAAGCTTTCCTTACAGCTAACCTGCAGCTCCATGCATTTGATCTCCTGCTCCACATGTGGGTTCTCAATGTAGTATTCCTGCCCTTCCTCCAAGCTTTCCTCCTCCTCACTGCTAACCTTCAACTCAACAAGTGTAACTTCTGACTCCTCATGGTGGTTTGAGCTAACCTGGGTTTGTTCAGCAGTGGACTCTCTGTCCTCATTGCTAAGCTGCAGCTCCATACATTTGTTCTCCTGCTCCACAAGTGCATTCACAATATCGTATTCCTGCTCTTCCTCAAAGCTTTCTTCCTCCCCCACATAGCTTGACTGTATGTCCCCATCCTTCTCTTTGGTCTCCACGGGAGACGCTTGTGGTTCCGAATAGCCATCATGCAATGCTAAACTGTAAGCCTGCTCTATCTCTGAGGATGTCTGTTCTTCATCATGGTCAATCTGTTTGTCGCAACATTTAGCCTCTTCTTCCCAGTTGTCCTGTTCAAGTTCAGAACCTTCCTTATTCGCTACCTGTCTGTTTCTGTGACAAGTAAAATCCTCTTTAAAGTTTTGTTCTTCTGAGGAGAAGGGCTGCTCTTGCCTACTGCTTTGGCTCTCTGGGATTGGTGACATTTTAATTTCAGTCACCTCTTTGGGATGGTAAATAGTTATAAAGCTTTTAATGATGGATTTAACATCAACATTAGCATCATTATTAAGAACATTATAATTGGAAGCCTCTTCCTTAGGGACTGCAGTTGACTCTGGGGAGGACTCCACTTTTTCATTCACTTCTTTAGACATTTCTATTTCATCCCCCTCCATGCTTTCACTTACGCTGGTTGGAAGGGCTGCCAATGCTTCTTTGAGCTTTTCAGGCAAGTCAAACTCATGTATTAGCTCATCGATATCCAATGCCTTTTCTTCAATGTTGTAGTCCTCCTCTGGGCATGTCTCAAACAAGACATTGTGCTCTGAACTGTTCGGTGTTGAGCTGCGACTTCTGTCTTTGTCGTTGAGTTCCTGGAAACCCTTCCAACTTTGCAGCAGTTGTGTGGAAGTTGACTTCTGCAATTCTGACAGACTAGCTTTCAACTCCTCTGCATCCTCTATGTTGGCAATTTCTCTCAGAGACTCCATCATTTTCAAAGCCTCAGCACAGCTTACACTGTTTGCATTCAGTTCAGGTATGTTCCAGTTAGTGAAGCTTTCCTTTAAGGTTATAACAGATAAGAAAGAAAGGAGAGCTTTAGTAGATGACCCAAATGTAGAGGCCACATGGGAGGAGAAATCAGGCAAGCTGTTTGACTTTTCAAGACAAGATGGATGATTGTTGTGTGTGATTTGTCTAATTGACCGAATTGAGAAACAGAGCTTCTCTAGCACAGGTTTCATGTCTGGCTGGGGAGGCAGTTTGTCTGTGTGTGACGGTATCTGTGTTTTTGTTAGGGGCTCCTCTGCTGTTACTTTCGTACTGTTTCCCTGATCTGAATTGCTCAGCTTATCATCACCATTCGTCTCTTCATGATTCACTAAAGCGGGACTGGGAGGTATTGGCTTCTTCTTCATAGAGGAATTGAGGTGTACTGGTGTTGATTTTGGCGATATTGGTGTTTTCAAAGTGGGACTTACTGGTGGTGGTTTGCTTTCCAGGGATTGGTTTCTAGATACTGGCTTCTTTTTAGCCTTGTGACTCATTGGTGGTGACACTATTTCCAATGACTGAGAATACGGTAACAGTCTATTTGTCAATGTGCGATTACTAGGTACAGGTATCTTTTCTGAAGAGAGATTACTGGGAGCTGATGTATTTCTCGTCACAAGAGTTGTGGGTAATGTTGTTATTTCAGGTGAGACGTTGTGTAATGATGTTTTCAAAGATACATTTATTGGTAGTGGTGTCCTCCTAGATAATTGGGTATTTTCTGAAGTGGAATCACTGGGTAATGACTTATTTGGTAGTGATGTCTCTTCCAATGAGTGACTGTTAGGTAGTGGTGTTTTTTCGACTGTGATTTGAACAGGATTTGATAGCTGGGCCTTCTCCAAAGTAGTATTACTGGGTATTGAAGACTTCTCCACTGACGCTTTTCTGAGTGATAGCTGCTTTTCTAGGGAGAGATTACTGATCAATCGTGTCTTCTTCATTGGGAGTTTAGGTGTTGATGGTCCTTTCAGAGTGGAGGGGTTGAACAATGTTGTTTTTTCCAACACATGGCCAGTGGGTGATAGAGCCTCCTCTGATGAGGGGCAGATTGATACAGGTCTTTCATCTGATGTGGGACTAGTAGGTGATGTCGACATGAAACATGAGGGACTACTAGCTAATGGAGCCTCATCTAAGACGTTGGATATCAGGGTTTTAGCAGGCAGTAATGTCTTCTCAGATGAGAGACCATTGGAGATTGGTGCCTTGTCCACCAACACCTTTTCCACAGTAGGATCACTGGATATTGAAGACTTCTCAGCTGAAGCTTTTCTGAGTGATAGTTGCTTTTCCAGGGAGAGATTACTGACCAATCGTGTCTTTTTTGTTGAGAGTTTAGGTGATGGTGTTTCTTTCAGAGTGGAGTGGTTGAACAATGTTGTCTTTTCAGATACATGGCCAGTAGGTAATGGAGCCTCATCTGATGAAGGGCTGCTTGATAAGGGTTGTTCTTCATCACCTAGACATGAACACATTAAATATGAAGGACTGCAAGCTACGGAAGACACATCTAAGACTTTGTTGGATAATGGTGTCTTCTCCGTCTGTGTTTTAGCAGGCAGTGGTGTCTTCTCAGGCGAGAGACTGTTTGAGACTGGGGTCTTCTCTATTGAGGAGCTATTTGGAACAGATTTATTTTCCAATGACAGACCATTTGTGATTGGTGGATTCTCCTCTGAGATATCTTTAGGTGTTGATTTTTCTTCCAATGAATGACTGTCAGATGGTGATGGCTTTTCTACTGAGATTATTGTAGTAGGAGAGACAGAGAGATCATTGGAGAAATGTGTCTTTTCCACTGAGGGATTAATGGGCAACCTTTCCTGTGTAGTATCACTGTGTAATGGAGTCTTTTGCAAAGATGGGTCAGAAGGACATGGTAATGTTGTGTTTTCCAAAGCCAGGTTGATCTGTGTTGCTATATTTTCAAATGTTCTATTTGGAAATGCAGTCGTTTCCAAAGATGGACTACTTGGTATTTGTGTTTTTTCCTTAAAAAAAGAAGACTCATCTTCTTCAGTATCCATTTCACAATTAAATTCTGACACATCTGGAACAACGTCTCCCTCAGTTTCTACCGGAGACATTGTTGATGTCTCCACATTTTGAGTTTCCTCCACTGGGTCTGGGAACACAGTTGGGAGGGCTTTTTCTAACCAATTCTCAACATATTCAGTGATATTAGAAGAGGAGGAAAGGAGTGCAGGCCTCAGATCATGACTCTCTTTCTCAATCTTTCTCTCCTTGTGCATGGACCTCTGCCTTTTTAGTGTTCCCTCCACCTTGGCCTCCGTAGGAAATGAAACATGCAATACGTTCTTCTTTACTGAAACTGAAGTCTTGTTTCTATTTTCACTGACATTTAGTTCTTTCACTGATGATTCCTTTGGGTTTTCAATATTTAATTTGATTTCCTTTCCTTTTAGTTTCTTTTTGTTTTTGATGAGACTTCTGGCAGGTTTTGGTCCATACATTTTCCTTATGGATACATTGCTTCTAAACCCCGCAGTGTTCAGTCTTTTATTGTTTTCAGGAGCATTTGCATTACTCTCTTTACGTCTTTTGTCTGGTGTTGTACTCTTACGAACCTGGTTCTTTTTCACTTTGGGCTTTGAGAACATTTTCTTGACTTTCTTTACACCAGTGGTGGAGTTTTCTTTGCTTGCTTCAGAGACCCACTCTGGGGTGTCATTGTCTTTGGTGGGCTTGGAGAGAGGGGTTTTATGGACATTTAGGACCCGATTGTTTTGGAGAGATCCTCCAGCCTTAAATTTGGGGATAGTGAAGTCAGATGCAAGAGACTGGTCAGCCCTGCACCCACTGATTGACTTTGAGGCTTTAGATGGTCTACCCAGCTCCAGCCCCAAGTCATTACTAGAGGAGAAGCGGGCTGTGTCAGACGTGGCTGGTCTTCCGTACATCATCCCATACATGGACACACCCTGGACACTGTACTGGCTGTTAGCCAGGAAATTGTCCTGACAGGTCTGCTTCTCGTATATGTGCATTACACTTTCTATGACTTCCTCCCCGCCATTTTGGATCTGCAATATCTCAGCCACGCCTGATTTAAAAGTGGATTGAGTCTTATTGTAATTGTTGATATCCACAGAGACAACTCCCCTTGGTTTAGGAACTGGCTTGCTGCTGCACTGTCTGACCATGCAGTATTCCTCCTTTACCTCTCCGTTCTCAGTTGTCTCTCTGTAGGAGTTAGAATCGACCATGTTCTCCTGAATCTCGTTTCCCAACATTGTTTTGATGCTCTCCACTGAGACCTGCTTCTGTCTGTATCTCCTGGGTCCTGGGGTAGGAGCCCTCCTGGGAGAGACCACATCCACCTGTGTTTTAGCATCATCCTCATTGTCCACTTCCACACTGGTAAGTCCGCTGGCCTCTGGAGACATATCATCCTTATCATCATGATCATCCCTTTTAGCATTGTACCCATTGATGGTGCCCATGGTGTTGGGTTGTGTTGGTGGCAGGAGGTTGGACTCAGGAGAACTGTTCCCCAGCTCAGACTCAGCCACACTGAGCTGGTTGGCCACACTGGACCTGCTCAGGGTGGTGGTCCAGTGGATGGTCTCCTCCTCCCTGATGGTCAGTCGCACCTTCATCTCCACTGTCATGCTGCCATCCTGGTTCACCCGAAAGGACTTCTCAATGTCATCGTCACCGGGCATGCAGTTGTCTGCCCCTTCACCCTTATCTCCATGGTAGGTGTCGGCGTCCGTTTCGGCCACTGACTCCAGAAAATGGCCAGCCTCCAGCTCCACAGATTCTGCGTTGTTACTGGGGAAGTCACACTGACTTCCTGCAATGCAGTGGTTTATCTGATTCACTAAGTATCTCTCTGACGATGGGGAGAAAAGCTGTGATTTGCCGCTGGATACAGGTTTCTTTTTCCCTTTGGAGAAGATTTAGTGTAGTGTATGAGGGGAGGTGGAGGATGGATGGATGTTTTTTGGAAGCAAGGATGTTTCAGCAGGTCAGCAAAGAAAAAGAGAACAAAAACAATAGTTAAGAAAACCAGATCCACGGTCCACACAGTTCATACTGCATAATGACTGGCCACATCTGAAGAGAGTAGGCCTATGTAGGTCAACTATGGTATTATGGATGATCGTAATGTCTCAGCACTTTCCCACTGCTTATCCCGTACAGGTATGTAGACATGGAGGGGATATATTACTACTGTACAGACAGTAGAAATGTAGATGTGACATACATGAATGTTTAACAATGCATTTTCAATATTCTCAAAGTAATGCAAAACATGCCAGTTAATAGGCAGGTGCTGTCCAAATTATTTTTTTAAACATCAAAACAAAAACATGCTTCAAAATACATACAAAATGTTGAGTGACCATAATGAGACTTACGGGATGCTGGTTGCTTTAGTCTTTTCGATGCCATTCGTCTAGCAGGCAGCCATGTTGGAGCAGAAGATTTCTGTGACTTGTAGTTTCCAGATTTAAAGGCCTCCCGACCGGCAGCTACTACAATCCCAGAGCATAAAATCAGAGCTGGAAGCCCATCCACCTGCAGACAGACAAATGAAATATTTAACTGTAATAGTGGAATTAGATTTTGATGTGAACGGCATCTATTAATGATTACTTTTAGAATCATGACTTAAGGCTAATACTGTATGTATCCAAAATATGTACCGAAATACTGTGTGTACCTAAAATCAGAAGTAAAATGGAATTGATATCATAAATTGAGGTCCCTAGCAACAGTATCCCAGAATGCCTTCTCAGTTAATAGGGTATATCAATTGAGGAGCTTAATTTATGGGTTAGACCTACTGCTGCCTGGGGTCCTGCTGTGAGTCCAACTATTATGGGTCAGTCAGACAACATGCTGCCAATCAGTTGGGGCCGGGTCACCTCCAGTCATGAAGTGAGGCCATCACAGAATAATGCCAATGCATGTTGTGTGAGGTAAGAGTTGAGTACCTGAACCTCTAAAGGAGAAGCCCATGTGTTTGGTTACAGTATCAGCACTGGTTTCCTGTCTAACTGGAGCTTGAGATGAAACATATGAAATATGTGTTTCTAAACAATAACAAGCAAATCTGAATTGCTAATAGCAGTAACTTTAGAGTCCATAGGCATGGGAAGAGCACTTACCCTTCTTCCATCTGGTGTGTGTAGTTTGACCACAGGAAAGTGCATCAACTCGGACACATAATCCAGCAGAGCCTCAAATGTGGGAGTAGTTCTCTTCTGTAGCATCAGATTATGTTTGACACTAGGGTCCCCATTCCGGAATATCATCAACCTCTTAGGTGTGCGTACAATGACAGGGGTCTTTTTGCGCATGGGCCTGCCAGGGTTCTGTTTGGCCAGCTGCAAGGCCCGATGCCGGGCGCTCATGGGGCGGGCATTGTACCAGGGTGGCCGCTTCTTACTGGCTACTGCCATGTTGATGCATTTGACCTTCTGTTGGTCAGAGCAGATGTAGGCCTTCCCATCCTCCAGTTCATCTAGTGTGTGCACTGCATGGACCCCTCGGGGGGTGGTGATGTTCCTTACTCCGAAAGGCAGCGGGACCTTCTTGGAGAGGCTGTCTAGGAGGGCATCGAAGGTCTTGAAGGTGCGGTTGTTGATGACCATGCGCAGGCCACTGAACTGAGGGTCACCGCTCTTGTAGAAGCAGATGCGCTTGGAGGTGATGGGGTCTGTGATATAGGGATGGAGTGACGTGGCCACTGTGTGCCCACTCCCTGAGGACTGGTCCTGGGCGGGCTTTGTGAGCCACACGTCACTCATTTTGACTGGTTAATAGGCTACAAAGAGAAAGGGTAGATGGATGACAGTGATTTAATTAGAAGAAATCCTGGTAAACATTAGTTACTTGATTATTATGGGATTGGATGTCTGTTGCAGTATATCAGATTAACTTTCAAGGGTACAAATCAAACCTGCATTGCAGTAGTATCAGTAGTATCTTACGAAAACTTTTTTTTCTCTAAATCAATTAAAACAGAATAGTTTTGGACGGTGGTTCATTAGCAGGTCGACTCCCCTCAAGATTCTTTTAGATTTTTCCAGTGTCAAAAATGTCATTAGGAGTTGTCTAAACAAACACTTTGCGTAAACATTGCTAGGCAGGTTTGATTGGGTCTGACCCTTGTTGACTTCATTCATTATGGCTGCAGAATCATGTGTCATCAATCATTAGACTATTAATATCAATAGTATATCATAAAAAATAAAAAAAGTAATTGTGATAACTTATGTGCTGTAAAAACAATTCAGTAAAATTGTCTGCAAAATTATATTCTTCTTACAGTGCTGTAGAAAAAAAAGATCTAAATGGGAAATAGGTCATAAGAGTCTGGGGGGAAATGCAACAATTGTGTGTTTCCTAATGTACTTGAATGGGTACGCTATTTAAATTATGTATCTGTGAACACATTATGATTACAGACTTACCAAAAGAGGGAGGTCCCATTAGCAATGCCCATTATGAATAAAGGACGTTAACAAAACCCAGTCAAAGCATTGGACTTCTAGCTATTTTCCTCATTAGGCCTAATTGTTTACTGGTGGCAGATGGAGTGATGTCTTGAGGGCATATGTTGTTTACTTTAAGGGATATCGTGCCATCAGGTTTAACAGACTACTAGGAAGCGGGAACCTTGCAAAGTAACTGACATTTTCAATTACTTAATTACCCATGTATAGGCTATTACTGACAACAATAAACTACAATCATGAAACAACATCGTAATTCATTATGTATATTTCTTAGCTATTTCAGACTATTGGGTAATATCAAAGTAGTTGAAAATTGTCTGATCCAATTTACTATCAGGAATTTGTAATAAACATTTGTGCATATAGTGTAACTATTTATCACATAGTCCCTTTCATATCCATCACAAAATATTATTGTAAAGTAAGATTAAAGCCACTGTTATATAGAAAAATATATAAGTTATATATATTTTACCTACAAGGTTATCTATGTTAGACCTCCAAGGTAGCTAGGCTAAACATAGATTAACCTGAACACGGATATGTGCGATAGCTCAACAACTCCTCTCATTGACAATAAAACAAATACATAAGTGAATGAAAATTTCAATAACATAAAAAGATTGAGTAAACTTACCTAATATCCCATGATAAAAATCCCAGAAATCCCAGTTGGTGTAGCCACAAAATGTTGTCCCGTGCTCTGCATTATAGCTACTGTTGGCCAGCTCTGTGCTGGGAGCTAAGGGTTATTTCGGGAGGCAACAACATGGTTAATTTGCTTAATCTTTGCTCTAAAATAATCTCCCCTACAACAGTGTTGTGTGAGAAGAGAGGGACTGTGTGTAATAGGTCTATACACTGCCCAGATCAAAGAATACCATTTATTCAGCTGTCATTCATTGTTTCAAAAAAATCTATTTAAGAGAGATTCCCACCTGAGGAGATAATGTGTACCTTACCATTTCGTATTTCTCTGCAAAACCATGACAGTGATTGTTTTGAAGGGGGTTATATGACCACATTTGTATCTAGGCTCATTGAAACTTTGGCCACTAGCTGAAAACTGGCAATACATCAAAATATGGCAGATGTTGCACTATTAAAATATAAAAATATAATTTTGAGTGTTAGCCTAATAATTCAAATGTACGACACCCCTTTTCTTATTACACTACCAGTGAGAATAACATAGAATACTAATAATAGAAAGTGTCGTTAGTGCACATATGATCTTATCAAATTAAAGCAGGTGTGTCCATTCTGACCACTAGGGCCAGCAGATGAGCAGATGGTAGGTTACTCAGTTCTAATTTTCCAGCAAGGCAGTAGGCCTAATCTCATTGGACAGACTTCTTTAGATAATAAGGATTAGGGGGCTTTCGATCAGAGGACCCTCGGAGAGTAGCACTTCATTCTCATTGAGGTGACATGAGGTGTGCACAGCACGTCACGCTCTGCCTTGGCATTGTCAATTCAGGGAAACAACATTTACTTCAAGTTTAGGCCACCTTCCCACTCCTCCTACATGTAGCAACAGCAAGTGCGTTATGACAGGCAGCAGTAGGTCTAAAATGAGGGATACGTTGTTTCATTCACCTGTATTTTCTACATGTTCTATTTTTGTGATTCTACATTTCCCTATAGAAAATATATTTACTATTAATACACATTTTCTTTTTGACATAGGTCTAACTTTCCACAGAGTTACAGTATAAAGGTTGGGGAGTGGATTATGATGACATATGACCTGTGGGTATTAGCCAGTCATGTTTAGGTTCTGTATATCTGCACTCAGATGTTATGCAACAGCAACCAAATCTGAACTGTACTGACTCTATTTATAGTGAGAGAGGGATTTACTCAGGAGGTGGCTTCATTCCTGAGAAGGCCTGCTATGTAAGGCCTTGATCAGCACAGTAAGGGACCCATGGAAAATACTAATGGCAGTTCTACTTACAGTAACAAATGTTTCAAAGCAAAACATATCCGAGTGACAGCAAACATGCATCACATCACAAGGCAGATACCATTTTAAAATGATGATTGTGTGTGTGTGGGAGCAGCATGTGTTTCTGTGAGTGTGTGTGTGCTTGCATGATGTTCCAGGAAATAATTCTGTCTGAGCCCGACCAGACAGACCTGGAAGAATTCACAAATGCTACTGCGGGCTCCCCGTGCATCCATCGTGTGGCCTGTTCCCAAAACCAAACAGAGCAGAACATTTTTTTAAATCCTTAAAAGGAAGCTGGCATGAACAATGGAGGAAGGCCACAGAGTAAACAGGTAGGCCTGGAGCCTGCATGCCCCTCATTCCAACCCTCTCCTCCAGTGATAAGAGACTGGGGAAGGTTTTTAAAGCAGGGGTCTTGGGTTGGGGGTGGGGGATTCAAACAGATAGAGCTGCAGGGATCCTGTCCCACAACTGGCACACGCCTTGTTGATCCTGAAAATACACCCAAGATTCAAGCTTCATCTCGTTTCAATGTTAACACAAGTGTTCTGTTTCTTTAACTTTCTCAGTCAGATTCTACTAAATCTGTAACAAGGTGAGTAGGACGGAGCCAGGCGCAGGAGGTGTGAATCAAAGAATAGGGTTGATTTGGCCAATACAGCAGTCCACAGCACTGTGTAAACCAAATACAGTGCGACTTAAATGCATACTGGGAAAACAAAAACACACGGGTGAGTATCCCGGCGATAAAAGTAACATAATGCTCAACACGAGCTAGCGACACCTCCACATGGAACAATAACACACAAAGATATGGGGAGCAGAGGGAATAATTATTCAGAGACTGATGAGGGGATATGTACCAGGTGTGTGTGAAAAACAAGACAAAACAAATGGAATGATAAACGCCTTCCAGACCCTAGACGTAAACTGGGGACCCCGGTCAGTCACTATGTCTTCTGGCACCCCGTAGTGCCGGAAGACGTGAGTAAAAAGGGCTTCCACAGTTTGCAGGGCAGTGGGGAGACTGGGCAGAGGAAGGAGGCGACAGGCTTTAGAAAAGCGGTCCACAACGACCAGGATGGTGGTGTTACCCTGAGAGAGGGGAAGATCAGTTAGAGAATTGATCGATAAGTGGGACCATGGCCGTTGTGGAACTGGTAAGGGATGTAACTTACCCGCTGGAAGGTGCCTAGGTGCCTTACTCTGGGCGCACACCGAGCAGGAGGAGACACACACCCTCACGTCCTTAGCCAAGGTAGGCCACCAGTACTTCCCGGTAAGGCAGAGCACTGTACCTGTGCCTGGGTGACCAGAGGAGGGGGACGTGTGTGCCCAATAGATAAGACGATCACAGACATTAGACGGCACGTACCGAAGCCCAGCTGGGCACTGAGGAGGAGATGGCTCTGTGCGTAACGCCCACTCTATGTCCGCGTCCACCGCCGACACCACCGGCGCCACAATGCAGGAGGCCGGGAGTATGGGAGTGTTATCAATGGGCCTCTCCTCTGTGTCGTACAACCGTGACAGTGCGTCTGCCTTCACATTCTTAGTGCCTGGTATATAGGACAACGTGAAATCAAACCGGGTGAGGAACAAGGCCCACCTGGCCTGGCGAGGATTCAGCCTCCTCGCTGCCCGGATGTACTCCAGGTTATGGTGGTCAGTCCAGACGAGGAAAGGGTGTTTAGCCCCCTCGAGCCAGTGCCTCCACGCTGTCAGGGCTCTGACAACAGCCAACAGCTCCCGATCACCAACATCATAGTTCTGCTCCGCCGGGATGAGCTTCTTAGAGATGAAGGCATAGGGGTGGAGCTTGGGGGGCGTGCCCGAGCGTTGGGATAGGACAGCATCTACCCCTACCTCGGACGCGTCCACCTCCACTACGAATGGCAATGAGGGATCGGGATGGACCAGTACCGGGGATAAGGTGAACAGAGCCCTCAGGGTACTGAAAGCCCTGTCAGCCTCAGCAGACCAGCGGAGCCAGGATGGCCCACCCTTCAACAGAGAGGTGATGGGGGCTGCGACCTTGCCAAAGCCCCGGATAAACCTCCGATAGTAATTGGCAAAGCCAATGAAGCGCTGCACCTCCTTAACCGTGGTTGGAGTAGGCCAATTAAGCACGGCTGAAATGCGGTCTCCCTCCATCTCCACACCTGAGGTGGTGATGTGGTATCCGAGGAAGGAGACTGATTGTTGGAAGAACAGACATTTTTCTGCCTTGGCATACAGGTCATGCTCCAACAGTCGCCCAAGCACTCTGCGAACCAGGGACACATGCTCGGCGCGCGTAGCGGAATACACCAGGATGTCATCGATGTAGACCACC